ACGATTATATTACCATGATTATATTGAAATTTGAAATCATATGAAAAATGTACATATATAGAAGTTACAAGATATTTATTACAAATGTATAATTAATAGAAAATTTATCCGCAATATGCAAAATGTAATTTCGCGCGTTTTTTTGAATATGCGAGTACTCCACTCTTTATAAGCATGGTACAAGTAGTACCCTCTAGTAGCGATTTAGGGAACAGAAGTCGCTTAATTGCTCGGTACTATCGATACATTCGATTTTGTGAAGAGTTACCGATCGATCTACGACACAAGCTCTATCTATCAGTCAACGTCTGCATTAAAAGTTTGAATTGCGAGAAACACAGTGGTTGAAACAATAATAAAAAAAAATAATAAAATTAATGATCGGTCGTTAGCTTATATTATTTTTGTCTAATTTTTAATTATATTATCTATGACTTTATGTATAAAGTACGTAAAAATATAATTAATAATTACACGTTAAATAATAATAATTGTCCAAGTCACACCATGAGGAGGTGCTGCGAGTGAAGACCCCTACCTTAACCGCAGCCTATTCTCCCTCCTCTTATATCAAAACTCTAATATTCATTCAATTGCAAACAAATTTTCCTTTTGTGTACATTTACAAAGCGCTCAAATTTTGTCGTTATATAAAACAAACAGCAAAAGGAGTTTTAACTAAACCGGCGCAAAAATATAAATCTGAAAATTTAAAAAAACAAGAAGCTAAAGAAAAAGAACCTCTAAACCTCATTTCTCAGCTTCGGCTTCACTAACTATTAAAGACGCACACGGTCAATTGCAAACAAAAATATAAAGAGCAAACAATAAATGAAATATAAAAAAAAGAGTAAAATATTATATTTAACATGATCTGGGATATGAATCTTCTGATCGACGATCACTGAAACAAACTTAATCTCTTTATCTCTTTCAATCATTCTTTTTTAATCATTTTCTTTTGTGCATACTACTTTATTTTTGAGTTACCATTCATACATATTTCGTTAATTTCATATTCACACTTACGTGTATTTGAAACTTTTTCAAGTTAATAAATTGTTAAATTTATTTATTGAATTAATACTTCAAAAGTTCGACAGTTCAAAGAAGCATGACAATTTAGACAAAAATGTTTAATAACAGATATTTACTGACAGTAATATCACTGTAAAATAAATCACGACGATAATAATAATTAATTTACCAACAATAAAGGAAAAAGACAAAAAACAAAATTCCCGAAAGCTTACACCATATAAAGGCATATTAATTTATTTCCGCAACACTAGTAAATCTATGCACTCCTTTTTTTGACACAACCATATTAAAGGTTGCTGATGATTACTTCTGTACAGCTGCATGCTGGAAGCCAGGATTGTACTTCCACTAATCCCAGTGGAAGAATGGGTATTTTATCAACGCAACACTAATTAAGAAACGCGATCATTAACGCAACGCTAACTGTAAAATTAATAAAAAAAAAATAGCGATGGAATAATATCGCGACACTAATCTTTAAAATATGAATTAAATAAAAATCATTATTTCTAATTAAATTAAAAGCTACTTTCATTATTCGCGATAATGACTCATCGTAATACTATAAAATTTCATTAAAATTCAGATAGAAGTATTTTGTAATAAAAAACAATGCTAAGAATAATCGCGAAATTTTATAATTCACAACACTAATTCAAGTCGATATTCATTCGCAACTCTAATTTAAAACGCGAAATTTTGACCATAGCAAAGCTAGCTCAAACCGATCATTTGCAAGACTAATAAAACAACCGCAATTTGATTTGGGGAAATAGGCCAAAATATCCATCGGTCAAAAAAAAAAAAACTACTGCTACAACAAATACTAAAAGCGAGCATAGTGACAAAATAATAACAAGAATGACTTCTCATGCTCTGAATGAATTTCCCATTCAGAGGATTAGAAGCCATTTGTTGCAGCCTTCTTCTATGGCAATTTGCCGGGCCTCTTCTTTTCTTCGGGCACAATGCCCGCTGAAACTTACATCTAAGCTCGAGTCTTTCTAATCGCAAACTAAAAAATAACTTATAAAGGTAAAATGAAAAAATAAATCGCGAAAGCTAATTTAATTACACATGGATGACCATCGATTATGATGATCGTTGTTCGTTCGCATGTGCGTGCTCGAGCAATACCTATACAAACGTTCGTTTCGGGACCTACTCGCGACCTACCCACGACCGCGACCGCGATACTAAATTCGAAAAATCGAAGAGTAAAACCAGAAGCAAGTGGTATGCGCCATTTGTACCAATTTCACTGTCGATTTTTCAAATTAGATTTCCTGAAACAGGTTGGACACGCGAAAAGGGGACACGCGATTAGAGACTGTGCCAACCTGCCCGGCCCTACCTACTTATAATTAAACACATTCACACCAGATAGTATGCTACCTATCCTACACATCGTGCTATATTTAAAAAATGGCAAAAGACAGGCATACCAACACATTCACTCCACGATTCTCACACATACACTCGGGCGCGACCTACACTAGGGAGAACGTCACGGGACGCCTCCGACACCCGAGCTTAGCACACAACATTCAGACTCTAATTTACGTACCATTTTCCTAAAATCAACTGATAATAGCTAGCGACCATTGCGTAAAACGTGATTAAAGCACGCTTGTATTTACAATCATACATGAAATATTAATAATTGAGAAAAAATATATGCAATTTCTATAGAAATCATCATTATCATTGATAGTGATCAGTTAACAATATAATTACATTTATTAATATGTTTAATATGCATTGTTATAATAAATTTTAAATCAGTGCATAAATATTTTAAATATTTCAACTTATAATGAATGGAATAATAAAAACGGCGCGATTCCACATCCTAATCACACACACACACACACACATGTGGAAAATAGCATCGTGCACGATACGCTAACACATTATCAGTTGTTGAAAAATTAAGCTTATAAACTATGGTCGTCACACCCATTGCCTTTCTCCCACCCAAGTAGCACCTGAGCACGTGAGTGAAGTCCTAGCAATAAACGTGGAACGGTTAAATCTGAAAATCCTGAACTAAAAAAAATGGTTAACATGTCTATTTTGTATCTAACGAGCTAATCATTTTACTTCAATTTTCAATGATTCTACTTTATAATTTATTTTGATGATTTTAATAAATTACTAACTGCTATATATGTTAATAAAGTTAAAATACTATTTATTTATTGAAAAAAAGACTAAGATTCAATGCAAATAAATGCAAATAAGTGGCATTCAATAATGATGGATTCTAAGTGATAATAATAGAAATATCCTTAAATGATTTCTTCATCAAAGTACATCTTTAAAAACACAATAGTAACATTTAAAACCAGTGCTTTGATTCTGAAATCAACCTGTCGTGAAGTGTTTTCTTGCACATGTTTGATACACTCTATGTATTAGATTCCTAATACATATCTGAAATTCTGTTGAAATTACATTGACTATGGAAATTAAATAATTCAGTTCCATATTAATATAAAGCATGGATAAATTAAATAAATTGAATACTGTTTGTAAATCTCTAACATCTATAATACATATTATTAGAATTGTTGAATTATTAGAATTTCAATTCAAACTATAATGTTTATAGTAACGAAGTCGGGGGGTATCCGACTCCTTCACCACAAAATAGTAAAACAAAATCATTCTAACATTTATCATTTATTCAAATATTCATACTTTATTTGAATATATAGATATTTTATATATAAATATTTTAGATTTGCTCATATGGACATTTCATCTTTATAAGTAATTGTATTCAATTTTTAATTTTATAAATAATTATGTATATAATTCCGATCAAATACGTATAATTATAAATATTCTGTTCTTTAAATCAATTCTTTATTCTTATTATATCAATGCTATAATATTAATAATTATTAATATTTATTGCATTATTATTAATATTCAAAAACGTAATGTGCAAGAAAACCTATCCTGAACTAATAAATAAAATACAAACAAGAAAATGTTATTATTCACAGGTATAATAAATACCCGCGGTCATTATGCTCGGCAAAAGTTCTACATAATACAACCAATCACCCGTGTCGATTCGGAGCTTTCCTACGACATGATTGGGTGATTAGAGGAACAAAAAATATGCGACTCACGATTAGATGCGAAGAATGTTCATCGACATTATTCTGGTCCAAGAAAACTGATTGTGCCCATCGTCAAATAGGAATTGTCAAATCCTATGGAAAGAATAAGGGATAGAACAAATCTATTTTCAAAAACAGTATTCATTATTTAATAAGTATGAAAATAAATCGTTATTAAACAATATCTTAACGATGATATTCAGTTTAGTAATGAAAATTTTCAAATGAATTCTTTTTTTAATTTTAATAGTAATTAAAATACAAGACATAGAATTAATTGAAATACATAGTATAAAATAAAATATAAAGTTACTTACATTCTTGGCTTACGAAACACTAGAGAATTTCCAGAAGACAGGAAGAAGAAGAAAGAGTAAAAAATCTTTAATGAAATATAAATTATTACAATTTATTCTGAGAAACATAGTCATAATTATTCAAAAAATAATATGAAATTGTATGAACATATGTTGAATTAAAAAATATTAAAATTCTAATAAATTTTGATTACTACAATTGGAACTTGTAATAAAAATTTAAAATCAGACTTTTTTATTATTAATAAATAATAAATAAATATTAATAAGAAATAAAATTTTGAAACAACCCTGCATCCACCTCAAAGAATAGAGTGAAAGTTGTAAAAAACCTTTAATAAAACATATGAAATATTATAACTTTGGAAAACATTGTTGATTCCTTAAGAAGTTTAAGATAAAATTCTATTCAAACTTGAAATTTTAATATATAATTAAATCTTTTTATTATCTATTTCAATGTTAAAACTTTAAGAAGCACAATACATAAGATACTACTTACATTCTTGAGTTGCAGAAAAGGTTGTGTCTAATTGCAAAACCTGTAAATGTTAAAAAAATATATATAAAAGGAAAATAAAAGACTAGTTTTATATAACATACTTTTATATAACAATCGGCGAATATATCAATTTTAATTTCGCATTACAACTAATTAAATTTAATAAAAACTATTGTGTTTTAGAGAATATTCAAAATAATATAACAAAGCAAACACTAACTGTGCAGATTGGATATTACTATATGCATTGTAAAACTAATCAAATATGGCGTACTTTTATCGTTTTTTAAAAGAAGCTGCGCAGTATTCAAACGACGCGATGCGCAAAATACGTTTAGATTTGACGTTAATGTTTCTTTGCGAAAATTACTTGTTAAGAATGTGCTGATCGAGTATTAAATAAATATTACTAATTATTCATCAAAATAGAAAACGGATATAAAATATATATAAAATAAATAAATTTTACCATATTTCCATAAAAAGATACCAAATTGACCGTTCATTGATCATGTAGTCAAGACATCTTCCTAATATTTTAAACTTTTTTCCCCAATCACATACAATCTGTATAAAAAAAAGACAAAACTTTCAAATAAATGTACCAAAAAAACGAATTATTAAGCATAAAACAATATTCAAGATCAAATGTCATTTTAGAAATTCAAATATGAGCTACTGGTGAACGTGGACGATCGAAAATCATAGAAAAAAAAAAAGATAATTTAGCTACAAATTAGTGATATTCGATAAATTGTGTGAAAACATACCTTAATTAAACGAGGTTAATGATAACGTGGATATAAACAATGGAAAAATGATGTTAAAAGCACTACGTAATTAATGAATATCACGATACAGAAAGGCACATGTTGACTTCTCCGTTTTAGACAATGGACTAATCCCAATTTGAGCGGGAGCGAATAGAATTCAAATGATTTGCTGGAAAAGTAAAGTGTCCTATCAGAAAATTTCTAACGATGAACCAATCATATCAATTTATGCATAAATGAAATACCGCGAATTTTGAATTTTGATATTTGCACTTTTCTTTTAATTAATGTTAAATTATAAAAAAAATATATAAAATTATAAAAAAGCAGCCATCGTGATTCGAGAATTTGAGAATTTTCTATTTTGTGAGTTGCAAAATAAAAGAGATATTTCAATCTCGGTTTGCTCGGATTTACAAAATGGATATTCCTTACTATCATCTCTTGCTACTCTTTAGAGTATTTATTTTAAAAAATATGCTAAATCTACAAATTAATTAAAAATTATTTTTATTTAAAAATTATTATAAATTATAAAGGACACAACAAAACCAATTTTTTTATACAATCAGTGTGACATGAAATTTCAAGCTATAATAAATATCTTTAAATTTGGGCCGTAACCAAAACGAATCATTTTATTTCTAACTTTACTTTTAAGAACTCGAATAAGAACTTCTAAAAATAGTTTGTTACTAGAATAAAATTCCAAAGAAAAACAGCTAAACTATGTAGTTTTTTTATTATATTTACCAAAACTGTTTGAAAAATAATAAATTATACCTTAAACATTTGTATTTGTATGTAAACTTGTATTTTGCATAAAAGTAACAGTTACAGAATTAATTTCCAAAAAATCTTACAAATATAACATAGACTTAATGAAAAAAAAATAATAATAAACTGAAGCAAAATAAAATGTATAAATTAATGAAAACTTCTCATGTATTTAGATAATGTCTTATGTTGACCAATGTAAAAAGGGAGGGAACGAGAAAGCGGGAAAGTTAGTATAGATGTCTCTGCAAAACGCTAGTGGCGACGCCAATCTCGTGAACAAAAGAAACAGTAGTGAAGCAACGTGCTTGGCCCATTTTAACTACAGAACTGCCGGAGTATGGTCATTTATACTGTGTAATTTGTTAGTAGTGTTATAGTGTCCTTCCTCATTTTATTGTTGCATAGAAATAAACAAATACTGTGTTTTTATAATCCACTTCTCTTTTTTTATAATTTCCATACAAATAGAAAATAAAATTAATAACATCAAGTTCAATCCCTTTGTACTGCCGATACAAATCACCGGAGCCTCATGTTTCTCTGCTGGTATTATTTTTAATGTTTTATACTGCTATATGGATTTAACCATGGATGTTCAAAATGAGGTATGATATATCGATAAAATTTTTTATTAATTACGACATATAAAATCACATATTATTCTTAATAATTTTTTGATTATGGGATTTGAGGTTAGCCTTGGTTAGAAGATGAAATTGAAACTAATATTAATTACAGAGCAATTATAATTCACGAAACATATTATTTACTTAATAAAAATGTTACGATGTCGTGTAATAGTAGGAAAATCATATTTATTATTATACAATATTGTATTATTGTAAATTAATTTTCATTTTTACTTATACATATACTTTTATAATAAATTCTTTATAATAATTCCTTAAAATTAATATATGTTAATAATTGTTTAATTAAGAAAGAAAATAGAGTATTTATATGCATGAACTAATTTTAGTGAGTGTTTATTGATTGACCTAAAATTATTTGTGAATATTATATATCTATTACATAAAATCCATTTTTATGTAATGGAAATAAATTATATGTTATGCAATATTTTATTACAAAAAAATATTATACAAATTATTTTAACACATAAGACATTTATAAGATAATAAAGATATTAAATTAATGCTTTATTTTAGCTTCTTTTTCAATTTTTGGATTTAAATGATTTGAGTGACAATGATAAGAATCATTTAATAGGCATTTTAAAATCTAATGTCACTGTTGATACCTTGAAATTGCCATGGGACACAGTTGAATCTAATAACGATATTAGTGCTTCTATAACAGAAATTCCACAAGTTCATAATCAGTGGTATCAAAATGGTAATTATTTTAAATAAAAATTATATATATCTTATGTTTATTTGTGTATTTTACAAATTCATTTTTCATTTAGCAATACCACCACCATCGTACACACAACAAATAATGTGTAGCGACTGGCAAGGACCACCAATTTATCCTGTTCCAGATGCTCATATACAGCCATTTATGCCTGCTATGAATTACTCTCATCCTGGATATAACCTTGGAAATGAAATTCAGGATGTTAGTTGTAATAGGGAAACTAATAGAAGGAATAATCGAGGAAGAGGGATAAGAAGAGATAATTTCAATCGTGGAATAAATCCTACAAGTGACATGCAACCTGGATATATAGGAGAACAAGGCCAATTTCACCCACCATTGTCTTTTGTGGTTATGTATCCAGATCAGACACAACAACAACAATTTTCTGGTCACGTTCATTATCCTCCATTAGCTTTATATCAGCCAAATATTCATACGCATACAAGTACACATCCTCATACACAACCTGGTTATGGATATCCTCCATATCATCATCCTTCAGGGAATGTAAGATGTGCTCGACCTATGCTTTCTCAACCTACTCAAGAATGTACGAAAGTACAGGCTACAAAATCTCATGAGAAACGAGTGCAAAATGTTACGCATCCTATCAAGCAACCTTTTCATCAAGCAACTGAAGAAAATAATTCTTCACAGACCAATATAGTCACTACAGTAATAACTGTAAATAACAATAAAGTAAATCAATGTACTAACAGTGTAGATGATAATAATGTTAATAGAAAAAATTCAAATACAAATGGAAAAGTACCACCAGTTAATGTCAAAATAGAACATAATATTGTATCTACTGTAAATGAAAAGTGTAATGGAGCTGAGAAAAACGTACCATGCGTAAATATTAATAGTGTATTAGAAGTAAAACAGAATGGAGAAACTGATAAAGAATATAAAAATAAAACTGTTTCTAGTATTAAAACTACTGTTGTTGAAACATCAAAACCAGTTTCTAAAACCGAAAATGAAATACCCAAGAAAGATATTTCTACGAAAAATATACAAGACAAAATTATCACTAAAACGCCAAATAACTCTTCTAATACAGCAAATACTCCAGTAATTGTGCCTACTACATCATCTCCAATTTTATCTTGGGCTGGTATCTTGAAAAGAGGAAGTGCAGAAACACAGTCAAATTCATCAACTTATAAACCAACAGCGCGCATTAATCCTCTATCAATCAGAGAGAATAGTGTGACATCAAAAGAATTATCACAGTCAATAGAAAAAAATCAACCTAATAGTACAACGGTATTTACAAATGAAAATATTTCATCTAATATGCAAAGTATTATAAATGAAAGTAAGAAATCACAGAGAGAAACCTTGAAAAATCATTTTAATGACCCTATTGCCTTTCGTATGGGTGGTAAGTATTATTCTAATAAAATTAATAAATACATTTTATTTAAATATATTTACCATATTTTCAATCTTTTTTTTTTTAGAATTTTTACTAAGCTATCAGATGGATAAACAAACTGTGAGTTTATTACCTAGAGGATTAACAAACCGTAGCAATTATTGTTACATTAATAGTATATTACAAGCTTTGCTTGCTTGTCCACCTTTTTACAATCTTTTGATGGCCCTACCACATTCTAAAAATTCCAATAAAATGAGATCTTCTTCTACTCCACTTATTGATAGCATGTAAGTAAATTTTTCGGAATTTTTAATGTAAACTTAGTATTTTTAAATGTTAACTCTTTGTAGTCGAAGTCCAGGCACTGCCCAGCAAACAATTCTTTATGTACTCTGGGCTGGGCCCGGCATATGCGTGCTTAATGTTACATGATACTATCTTGTTCTACACACATTTTGGCGTAGTATATGGATGAAATCGAAATGAAGTGTAAATTTTGCATTATCCAAAAGATTGATTTTACTAATAATGCGGAAAAATAACGTACATCATACGTCTTAATTTTGAATACTCTAAGTTAATTTTGTTTCTTCTTGGCAATTAACGTGCGTTATAAAAGTCTGTATTTATTTTAGTTTTTCGGTCCTACCAAATAAAGAAATAATTGTAATTACGAAATTACAATATAATATTGTAATGTGAAAGTAAATTCACATTACAATAGCTAACGGTAGTTCTTTTAAAATTTTTATTTCTTTACGACAGAGGTTTCTGTTGTTCGGTTGTATCAAATAAAGAGGCCACATTGTAAACCTAAGTAAATTCACGAAGCTAACGGTAATTCTTTTGAAATTTTTATTTCTTTGCAGGGATTCCCATAGAAATTTGTATTTTTTTTACATTATCTGTGTCCCTTCTAAATCCCTTGTATTATCTGTATTTCTTCCATTATTTGTAATAGTACTAAAATAGCTCATCATAAATATTAACAGTAATTGACTAGATAAACGGGTAAAAATAATGACAACTATTGGAAAATTTAGGCACGCAGCTATTATGACTGCAAAGAATTAAATTAAGCATATACTGTGTGATTTTAATAATGTTCCTAAAAATGTTTAATCTTTTATGTAGGGTAAAATTTGTACACGAATTTACACCTTTGTCAGATGGTGCCCGATTAGCTAGAAAAGAGAGAGCAAATAAACGAGGGGAAGATACAATAGTAGATATACAATGTGGAGTGGCCTTTGAACCTTTTTATGTATATACAATGTTAAAAAATATGTCAGCTGCAGGTGTATTTTCTGTGGAAGGACGGCAAGAAGATGCAGAAGAATTTCTCTCGTGTCTTCTGAATGGTATCAATGATGAAATGCTTGAAGTACGATCATGATAACATTTATCTTAATTTGAATTTTAATGGCATAATATATCATTATGTATGTTTTGATATACATAATTGATATTAATAATACATTTATTTATTTCAGCTTATTAAATTAGTAAATAATGACCAAAGTGTAACAAATAATATTGAAAATAATGTAAGTTATAACAATGGAGAAGAAGAATGGAAGGTAAAATATAATTTAGCTAAATAATTTAACAATTAATTATCGAAAAAAGTACTAATATCAAGATTCAAATTGTAGGTTATGGGTCCAAAGAATAAAGGATCTATTACACGGTGTACAGAATTTGGAAGGACACCATTATCAGATATATTTCGCGGACAATTGAGATCTAGAGTATCACGAGTAGGAGAACAAGCAACAGATAACGTCCAACCATTTTTTACGCTACAACTTGACATAGAAGTACTAATATTATAAAAAAACTAACATAGAATTTCAATATAATAGTATATTAATACAAAATACTTTACTTTTAGAAAGCAGAATCTGTAAAGGGTGCACTCGAAATTCTCGTCGGAAAAGATCCATTAGAAGGAATGACATGTAGTAGAACAAAACAACAAATAGAAGCTTGGAAGCAAGTTACCTTAGAAGAATTACCTATCATTCTCATATTACATTTAAAATGGTTTGACTACAAACTAAATGGATGTTCAAAAATTCTAAAAAGTGTAGAATTTCCAATTGATTTAAAATTGGATAGCAGTTAGTAAACAGTTTATTGATATTTGTCTTTAAATTTATAAATTTAAATAAATTAAAATGTAAAATTTATTGTTCCAGAATTCCTGTCGCCAAATACCATAAAGAAATTAACTCCAAAACAAAAGCATTATAAATTATTTGCTGTTACTTATCATGATGGAAAAGAAGCAACAAAGGGTCATTATGTTACAGACGCTTTTCATGTGGGATACGGTGGCTGGGTCAGGTACGATGACAGTTCATTAAAAGGTGTTTCTGAAAGTAATGTATTAAAGCCTACTCCTCCAAGAGTTCCATATTTATTATATTATCGACGATGTGACACTATTGGAAATAATCAATCAAATAGTGGTAAAATACGTTAAAACGAAAAACATTAATTACGTATAAAAAAAATCTATATTCTAAGTCTAAAGAGGCAATTTGAAAGAATAGATTTTACAGATTTGTAGTTCTTGTTGATACTTGTATCTGAGTACAGAGAATGTTTATTAATGTATATCATGAAAAAATAGAAAAGTATTTCCTTTTAATACATTGTACTTCCATGAAACATTTGTACGTAAGATTGTTGTTACGAGTTTTATGCATAAAGTTACGAATTTTCTTGGTACGCGAAATAAATAATAGTTAAAGTTGAAGTTAAAGAGGAGTTTTAATTTTGGCATTCATAATTCTATCGAAGTTAATAAGCGCTTGCACATTACAGTTTATCAAAATATTAAATGTCACAACCTCTTGTACATATCTTTCTTACTCTGATTATGAATATACAATCTATAAGAAAAAGATATACATAATAATCTTGTAGAAAAGGAAGCAAAAATAGAGAAAAGTTTTTCTACTTTAATGACAAAATTTCTATGAAATGCAAATTTTATATATATTTGAAAAAAGATGCACCTTAAGTTATTTTTGTAAATAACCTTCCTATGCCCTTATAATATTCCAACCTGCCAATTATTTGTAGCATACAATAATTATTTTTTAATTATAAAAAAATAATTTAAAAACTATTCAAACTACATACATATTCCGTGATATTGTTAAAATGCATCTTTATATTCAAGAAAAATAAAAATATAAATTTTCAATCAAAGAAATAATTGGTAAGGTGGAATACTAATGTTATCAATGCGGAAGATTGTATAAACATGAAATTTGTGTACAAAACTACCCTGTCACGTGTCAAATTTGTGTCTATAATTAATTGCGATCTTTAAAAAACGAAAAAAAAAAAAAAAAAAAATATTCATATATTTCGTTTTATACATGTTAACACATGTAACACTTTTCTATCATTTGTAATTAGTTTAATGAATTAATTAATTTAATGATTGTAAATTTAAATTTAGAAATGATTGTATTTTGTCTTAGTTATTAGAATGTTTTTAGCAATTTCAAGATTATTAGCGAAATCTGTCGAAAGTATAAAAATGTTCACGAAATATGTTAAATATTTTGTTTTGCTCTGGACTGTGTATAATTTTATATTTCCTGTTCTACTACATTTTTGTCAAACTTTAATTGCTTCTAGTTCAAATATATTTATCTTTATATATAAATATAATCAGTTGATAAAGCAGTAAAGTTATAGAATCCCATTGCAAAACATCTTATTTACATTCTATTTCTGACATAATGTAGATAAGAAATACTTTTAGTATAATAATACTTCCTATAAATATATATAAATATATATATATATTTAGATAACATATATATATATATATATATATATGTACATGTATATAAACAGGTTGAGTCACATAAAATATTATAAGTCGTTTTATCCTGAAGCATATCGACCCAGAATAAGTTTATTTTAATTATCTGTTTCTGTAGTCTTCCTTTAAAAATGCTTGAAATAAATACATTTACAATTATTTCAATATTCAATTTTATAAAAGCTATTTAAGTAAAAAAAAAGATTAATATATTGCATTCCATTTTTAAGCAGTTATCAGAAATATTCAAAATAATCAGCTCTTTTATGTCATATAAAATTTAAATTAATTCTACTATACTTTTAGATAAAACAGAGCTTGTAAAGTCTTATGATTCACCTGTTTAAATATTAAAATATATATCTAAGGTTTATAAAAATTAATAAAAATATGTATATATGTTATAAAAACTTGATTATCATTTGTTAAAAAATATTTATTGTTTCAAATATTGACACTTCATTTCTCATATTGTTATTACTCCTTTTTATCATAATACTATAAGAACATTTAAAATTCATTTTAAAAAATTGCAATCAAATGATATATTTTAATAAATAAAGAATATAAAAAAACCCTTTAATACTTCTATTAATTACTTATTTCTAGTTATATAATAACAGATCATATTCTTTACACTAATTACAAACGAAATACGTAATAACTATCAACAATATCAGACAGATACAAGAGATACATTCAGAAAATGAAAGATGCTAAAAATGTGGGAGACAAACTTTGCCAGCAAATAATTCTGAAATTACCGTAATCCATAAAGCTAAAACAAAAAGTATATAAGAAATACCAACTTGATGTGAATTTGGTAATTGATATGGTTGTCCACCAATTTCATTAATATGAAAACCCATTGGAAATATAACAGCTGCTAAGCAAAATAGTACCACTAAAATATAAATTTATATTTTTTAATAATAAAATTTTATTTGTGAAAAGTAATTATTAATTCCACTTACTAGCTGTAAATCCCACCCATCTTGCATAAGGAATAACATTACGATCCCAATGAGAACTAGCTAATAATATTATAGTGGCTGTTATTAAAATGCAACCAACAAAAATACAAACAAGAGCCATAAACCATTCTGGTTGCAATTCTGGACTGTAACAAACTTGATGTCTATTATACAAAGTCATGCATGACCACATCAGTCCTAGTCTCGTGTCTCCTGAAAAAATTGTTTTTGAGAAACATATAATTAAATATATATATACATATATTTATATATATTGAATTACATAAATAACAATACTATTGAACTTATGCATTTATTATAACAAACTAGCAAAAAAATGTAACTTCAATTATTTACCACCGACATCAGTAATAATCCAATCGGGCATAGCAAGACTAACAATTGCAAATACATCGGCGGCAAGAAACAATGTTCCCGAAATAATTGTTAATTTATCCATTTTATATCAATAATGATTAAATAATTTTATCTTAACTTATTAAAAATAATTAGTACAGTATCATTGTTATGAAAACATATTTTAATTATTAGGAATAAAGTAAATTATTTCGAGTTTATTCGGTTTACTGTCGGTATCACTTCGTACGAAAACATAGTTTTCTAACCTAACATTTATGAGATGTACATATGTACTTCGTATTTTATATATATATATATATATATATATATATATATTTATACGTTAACAAAATAAGAATAAAGAAAAATAGGATGCAAACAGTTGATGCATATTTATTAAATAAAAAATTAATATACATTATTCTTACATTAATAATATATTAATAAAAAAAGACTTTTTACAAAAAATAAAATTTAAAACTGTACATAGTGTAAGCAAAGATTCTAACAAATCGTTTCTCATTGAGGACAAAGTGTATATTCTCGCGCTAGACCGACTCCGACGTTCGACTTAGATGACGTTCTGCTGACGGACTGTTCCTCCGTGCACCCCTTCGGGTATATATATATATATATATATCCTTCGTTCTGACCTTCGTCCGGGTACCCTAGTTTTGGTTTACGGCCATCCGTCATAAACCTTGGGACCTTACGGTCATCCGTCATAAACCTTGGGACCTTACAGTCATCCATCATAAACTTTGGAACCTTACGGACATCCGTCATAAACTTTGGGACCGTCACCTGGTCCTTAACCGTGAGTGGCTTCTACCGAGTAGGCAAAGAAGTCTTCCCACGCCTAGGAACGGCCGGCGTGGCTAACATTCGCTTACAATAGTCATAAAAATTCTTCATATACATTGTTTTTTTGGAAATTAGGCATTCCAAATTAAAATTATTCTGATTACAATGTATTTGAATATATAGAATAATTGCGACGTTTAAATTTCTTACGATTTGGTTCAGTTTGAATGATATAATTACCTGAAATATAAATAATTATTACATATACAACATATTATTACATAAGAAATACTATGTACATTATAATAAAATAATAATGTATTATTTACTATCATCTGTAGAATCATAATTTATTCCTGATGATAAACTATTAAAACTTTCAACATCTTTACTGTTATTTATTTCTGATTCTTGTTCTTCAATGTTACTCTTTGGAGATAAATTTGATGATGTTCGACTAGCTATACTTCCATCAAATGTAGAACTTAAGACATTATCTTCATCACATGAAATTGAAATTTCATGAGAACTTGATATTTGTTCAAATGATGTTTCCATCAATGATTCATTTGATTTCAACTCTTTTATATTATTCATTAATAATAGTAAAACAGATGGATCATCAATACCCAAAGTATTACAAAATTGAGTTGTTTGATTATTCACTATCAATTGTGGTGGTTCCACTGATACATCTGTACTATCGGGATTATATGGTTTTACAGTTTGTGTAAAATTCAATGGAATTTGTAAATTACAATTAAATTTATTCAAAATTATTGCTTTTTCTTCTACAGTTGGTGTAAATATCCATCTAATATTACCATACTGTCCAGGCATATAATGAATTCCATTTTTGACACTTAATAAATGATTTGTCAAATATAATATTGTTAACCATTCTAAATCATAATGTAACTTCAATGGTAAATCAGAATTATGTTCTATTTCAAGTACTTGAAGAAATTTTCTTTTCGGAAGACATTTATCTAGGGCTAAAAATTTAGTTATTCTTGTTCCTCCTTTTTCAGGAACAAGAGCTGCAAATTTACAATGTAAATGAGCAGAAAACCAATAGCTTGGGTAATGATGTTTCAAAAGTTCCATGCATGGTGGACTACCAAGCATGTTATTCTCAATATCATTTCTGTAATAAAATAATAAGATATAAACGCTCATATATTCAAAAACTAATATGTTTTATACAAGAGATTTTTAGCAATTTAGCTTACTTGAAAAAAGGTTTTCCTTTTAATAAAATACTTTCATCTCCATATTTAGTTATGCCTGATGGCCAATCGTGTGACAAGAAAATATCAATATTACCAGAAAGCTACAAATAAGATAGTTTATAAATAAAATGAATAATATTGAAAATAAAATAATAATGAATGACACAATATAATGAACAAAAAATTATTTTTTTGTTTAAAAAAAAAAGTATTACCTGCTTTAATCTAAATATCTCTAAATTTCTGGTGTGATATATACTTCTGATTGTATTTTCAGTATATGGTGGTTTTTCATGGTGTCCCTGCATCCAATGTTGACTTTTATAAATACCTGATAATCCTGCAATTCTAATACCACCTACTGTTATCACACTAGCATATCCTAAATAATAAATATTGGGAGCTACCCATCCTCCATATGGTAGTTCTTGAAGATAGTTGGAAGCTTCATGATTACCCCCAATAAATATTGTCAACACAGGAGCAACCTTTTCTCCAGAATAATATCTATAATGATAAAGAATAAAACATTAATTTAAATTATTTAACTATCCTCATTTTGACAAACATAGAGTTAAATAACTTACTTATAAAAGGTACACATATCTTTATATTTATCAGGTACTGCCATACAATTTAAATCACTTAAATTTCTTGTTGCTTGGAAATCTCCACAGCAAATAAGTAAATCTATCTTTCTTCCATTAACTTTTTCTATTTCCTGAATAGTTTCATAAATAATATCTAATTCACCATGTGCACAACCTTCTACAGCAATTCTCATTTTTATTTTTTTTCTCTCACTTAAATGTGTAATCAAAATTCAAATTCACTGTGATATGATTAAATATCGTGTAATATTATTAAAAATTAAGATACAAGTTTGATAACTGTACATTCTAACCTAAAGTCGCCATTTTCTTAAACTAACATCCATGTTACTATAGTAACGATAACGCTATGAAGTTTGTCTGAATATAAAAAATGCATACATTTTTATAACCAAAATATATTGAAAAGTTACTTATTTATGCACAAAAAAATAAGAAAACTATCAGATCAAATAAATTAAAGGTGTATAATTATGTCTAGTGTGTAGTACATTTATCAATTATGAGTTTAATTTTCTCAACCGAAGAAGGATGGATAATATCTCATTTAAAATACCTTAATAATATTTATACAAATGTAAAAAATGACAATACACAGTGTAAACTAATTTTTAATGAAATATTATTTGATATAAATTCTCAGTATTTACGACAAAATCAAACAATTCAATCAGAACAACAAGAAGGAATTTCATTACAATGTAAAACTAAAAAAAGGAAACGTTTAAAACTTTTACCAGATGAAGATTTAAAAGAAGTATGTAGTGAAAAACAAAGAATTTGATTGATAGTCTAATCATCAAACAAAATAATTATAATTAATATTATTTATTTTGTAGATAAATTACATCAAGAAAACATTTAACAAAATAATTTCGATTGTAAAAACAGAGGGATTATTTTCTACTAACGTATCATCTGATAACAATGAAGCAGCACGCTTGATTTCACAAAAATTTTATCAGGACACATTTTGCAATAAAGAGGAAAATTTTTATGGTTGCAACGATATGGAAGTAGCTGTTACATCAGAATTAAAGGAAAAAAGATATGTTTTCCCTCAAAAATGTAAATTTTATTGCTATGATGTGAGAGATATTGCAAATAAACTGGGCCTAAATAACCAATATGATTTTATATTGTTGGATCCTCCTTGGTGGAACAAGTCCATAAGAAGGAAAAAAACCAAATATTCACAAGCTAGGTGATCTAGTATGGTTCAATATAAGCCAGTAAAAAAAGAAAGCTCTCTGAACAATTTAAAGAGAACAAGTACTTTGATAATAGTATAAATTTTTCTTGTTCTCAATTTTGTGAGCATATGGGTAAATAAGATTTTAGATGCAACTTATCAAAAAGCCTCATATTGAAATAGTATTTATATATTTTAATTTTATCACATTGATTAATTGTATTTTTTATAAATAAAAACATTTCAATTCTTGATAGCAATTTTCTGTAAATAATATTTTATACTCTTGTACAAATTGTCTTATATATTTTCTTGTTAAACAGCTACAAAATGATGTATAATGAAGAATTGGCTAAAATACCAATTGGCAAATTATTATGTTCAAATGGGATTGTGGCAATATGGTGTACCAATGCTCCAAGTCATCTACATAGTATCTTTAATGATATATTTCCATCATGGGGTGTTACATACAGAGCAAAATGGTATTGGGTAAAAGTAAGCATATATTTTAATCAAAATTTTATAAATTATTAAAACTTGTGAAAAGAGAAAAATAAGTTGTATTTTACTCTGTTTATGTTTATGTTTTAGATTACTCAAGGAGGCAATACAATATGTAATTTCAATTTTACTCCTGGTAAACAACCTTATGAATTGTTAGTTCTGGGATCTGTATTACATGGAAATGAAATAAATATTCCTAATGGTAAACTTTTGATAAGTATACCAAGTGCTGTACATTCTCATAAACCACCACTTACAGGTAAAATCATATATCAATAATAATTTATATTTAAAAAAATTATTGAAGATATATAAAGATATTACTTTGAATTATAGAAGTTATGAAAGATTATCTTCCAAATGAACCAAGATGTTTAGAAATATTTGCTAGATATTTACTTCCTAAATGGACAAGCTGGGGTCTTGAAGTATTAAAATTTCAACACTTATCATTATATACAATGATACAAGAAACAAAAGAAACTCAAAACAATACTAACACAGATGTAAATAAGTTAATTAATTAGTATTGAATTAAAAAAAAAGAAAATATTCCAATATTGTTGATTTTATATTACACTTTTTATTATCATAAATTAATAATTCTTTAATAATAATGAAGTAACAGTATTATAAAGTGCCATTTACATGTTCCCTAATACCATTTTTTACTGAACTACGATAACCATGTGGATTCATCATTTGCCATCTCCAGAAATCCTCACCTAAGTTAAAGAAATATTAAATAAGAAATCTTATTCGATGCGAAAATGTAATGAAAATATTATTTTACTTACACATGCGTTCAACATTATATTTAGCTTTCCATCCTAATTCTTTTTCTGCTAAATCTGTATTTGCATACATAGATACAATATCACCCTCTCTTCTTTGTTTTATAACATATGGCACCGTTGTTCCTGTGACACTCTCAAAAGTTTTAATTAATTCAAGTACAGACACTCCTTTACCAGTACCTAAATTATAAATTTTTAGCCTCAAATGTCGTTTGTGTAAAGCATTTAAAGCTGCTACATGACCAGCAGCTAAATCCATGACATGAATATAATCACGGATGCCTATAAAGAATAAATATTTCACCATTTTTTATTTTAAACAGTATGTGTTTACAATATTGTATGAGAAATAAGAAAATTTATTCATACCTGTACCATCTTTTGTAGAGTAATCACCTCCAAAAATGACGAGTTCAGGCTTATGTCTTAAAGCTACTTGCGCTATATAAGGCATTAAATTCGTAAACGGTTTTGTGGGATCTTCTCCAATCAAACCACTTTGATGAGCACCTACTGGGTTGAAATATCTTAGTGAAATGATATTCCAATTCTGTTAAATAAAAATGAAGATTTTATACATATTTAAAATATTCATTGTTCAGCTTTGAATTAGATTATTCTGATTTTTTCTGATTTTTTCCGAAATTCAAATTTAAAATGTACCTTTTCAGCTCTTGATATATCTTTAAGCATTTCTTCAATAAAATACTTTGTTCTACCATATACATTTGTAATATTTCCCGTTGGGTGTTCTTCTGTAATTGGAAGTTCGTTTGGTTCGCCATACACAGTGCAAGAACTACTAAATACTAATTGAAAGCATCCAGCAACTTTCATTACCTTATAAAAAGATTAAATTCATTATACTATACTATAGTTATTAGTTTATTATACTATTATGCTATAAAAATGTATATAAAGATTTATTCAATTATATTTATACCTCTAGCAAATTGATGGCACCGATGATATTATTTCGGTAATAATGCAACGGTACTTGCATTGATTCACCAACCGCTTTTATTGCCGCAAAATGAATTACACAATCTATTTTATGCTAAAATTTAAAATATGGCATGATTAAAAAAATATTACAGAAATAAGGTAATTCTTTTTTTTTAAGTTATATTTTATACCTTGTTAAAAACTGTTTCAAGTTTGTCTCGATCAATGAGATCACAATTATAAAATATAACTTTTTTCCCAGTAATTTGTTCCACTCTTCTAAGAGCTGCGGATTCGCCGCTATTTTCAGTAACACTATTAGCAAAATTGTCTATTGCAACAACATTATATCCACTCTCTAAAAGTTCGACGATGCAATGACTTCCAATGTAACCGGCACCTCCAGTTACAAAAATAGTTTTCCAATCTTTGGTCATATTGCTATTGAAAAAATATGTTTATAACATATATGATATATGTCTTCTTAAACATTTTATAATAATATTGTAAAAATTATCATGTTTAAATTTGTAACCTAATCCTTTAAAAAATTCTTTAAATTGAACTGTTATGCATAAAAGGGGAAATTTTTTTTTTAATTATGATACATATTATTTTTTTTTACAATCACATTAGAATTATATTTGTATTCAATTGAAGTTATTTTCATTGCATATATTTCACATACTATATTTATGCAAACGAAAATAGTAAATATAGTTTGTAATAAGTACAAGGTAAAGTATGCAGGTGTTTCTCGGACATTCACCTGTATCGTATAGAGTTCAAGGTCATCAAAATATATGATTACTGTAATAATTCCTGAATAATAATTACAAATATATTCATTAAATAGGAATTTAGTTAATATAAAATTAAAAACAATCAATTTGTTCTATTAAATCAAACACATTTAACTCAGAATTAATAAAGTTTTTATTTATCATATTTTTAAAAGTTCTTTATAAAGTATGAAAAAAAAGTAAAAAATAAATATCCTAGCAAAGATTTAAAAAAATATTGGCTTTGTTAACCACTAGACAAAGATACTAATATGTATTCAAAATTTGACTATTGAATTTAACGGTACCATATAGAATCAGATACTTTCGGCACTTAACGTTCATTTACGCAATAGAAATATGGATAAAAGAAATTTAACTTTTTATTATTTTTTTTACATAGAAATAAAATAAGAAATTAAAAATATCATTTGTAACTTATCATATTAGTAATTTTCTATTGCATTAAAATTTAAGCATAATGAATATAAAAAAACTTATTTGATAGTTTTATATTTATTATAAAGTATACGTAAAATGTATTACTTTTTTTATATTATTTTTTAAATAATTATAATATTCATAAATAATGATATTTTCTTTTACCTTGTATTACAGATGAAAATATAAAAATTAATATTTAAACATATAACAAATATAAACTTTTATCAACTTAAAGTGAGATAAAGGTACACATATAGAATTGCACTTAAGAGACATTAATTATTACCTTAATAAAATAAAATTACAAATAGCGAATATGTCAAACTAACATAAAGCCGTGATCACGTCCACGTAATCACTGACTCTACCTCAGAGACTTGCCTCATCTTCAGGTATAAGAAAGTGGAGTTTAGTATATTCGTGGAACGCAATCCCCTCTTCTACAATACCATCATATGTATCATTATATATAGAAATACACACACTGTACAGTTCGACCCTCTAAAGTCCTTGCTTTCAGCAACAAGTTCTTCCTTTCACACTTCACACAGATACGACATACTTATTTATCTACCTCCTTTACAAGAATGGGAGGAATGATGGCTCATATACGAGAGCTGCACACTTATTGCTTACATCATCAAATAGCTTTTAACGGATTAATTTATTAAGCTTTCTCTATAAAAATTTAAATTAAATAAGATATTAAAATATGAAATATTAAATATAAAAAGAGAAACGTTTTTTAAACGTATTACTTAAATAAAATAAATATAAAATATTTAATAAAAAATATCATTTATAACTTTAATATTCTTAATTTCTTAATTATTCATATAAATATAATACTGTCCATTTATTGTATTGTTAAAACTTGAATTAACTTATGTAATAATTCCTTTTGCTCAGCATTTAGATAAATCCACAATTCCCCTTCTAATTCCATCAATGCTTGATAATCATGTGACTGACATGCCAATACTAATGATTGTAACAATAACAGTTCATCTTCACACATATTAAAATCTGCAATTCGTATTTTATTAGTATTTTTATTGTTTACAATTATTTAAGTAATTATTTAAGTAAAAAGAAGAATGGTAGAACACTTGCCATTATTTGTAGTTTCTTCTACCCATGCATACTTCTCTAAGACTTGTGCTAAACAAGGTGCTAGTCTTTGTGGTGATGGTTGAAGTATAAGTAATAAAAGCACTCTAGTTACTTCACACCTATATAATAATATAATTAATAAATCCATTATTTTCCAAATTTTATGAAAATTTTTTTACTTTAAATTGTATTCAATACCTATGTAATATAACGCTGTAATTTCCTCTTGCACCAACATTAATATAACTTTCAACAAATTCAACAAAATCATTCAAAATTTGTAAAGCAGATACATAATCACCTAGTAAAATATTTTGTACTTAATTATAATAAATAATTACAATCATTTTAATCAATATTTACCTTGCTTAATATGATAAGATACTAATGTATTAATAGCTTTTATAGTTGGGAAAATATCAATAGCTTTACATAATTGTTGTATGCCAGCTGGAGTAGGACCCAAAGCTAGTGCTAGTTCTAGTGCTAAGCCAGCAGACATAGTATTGAATCCTATTTGATTATGACATCGTGCTAACGCATGACCAAAACAACTTATTGCTGCCTAATACAACAAATTGTAACTTTAATATAGTTATATTGCTAATAGTTAATTTAATTTCCAAAAATAATAAACCTGTGTATTTTCCTGTCCCATAGAAGGGCATCCTATATCTTTATCTTTCTTATCAGCCACAAGAAATTCTCGACCAGCTTTTATTAAGAAATTTAATTCAGAAAAAATATTCTCTAATGTTTCTTGACATCTAGCAGCATCTAATAGACATAAACCTGCATATTGCCATAATTCCTTTTGTTCACATTCAGTTGCTAATGTCGCTATAAAATAATTGATATTAATAAAATTTTTATCTTACACTGTATATTGTAAAATCTTCATAACATACCAAATTGATCACTTGCTTCGGCAACATTTGGTTTTCTTAAAAATCGTCTAAAATTTAATTATTAATAATTATATTGATTTTATTATAAAACGGATTAAATTATTCTATAAAAAAATATGCATAATGAAATACTTACTTCTTTAGTTTGTTAGATATATTATGATATTTTGTTAAAAAGTCTAATGAATCTCCCATTGTTTTCCATTCAAATGTTTTTTGCTTTATTATTTTTTATTATTTTTTGTTTATAAAATCATTTATATATTTTTTTAATATAATATAATGGTAAATGTAAAATGTTACATTAAGTATGTGAATTGTCTTCAATTCATTAAATATTATTTAATGTCATATTTTCATTTCCGAAAGTAAACAGTATGTAATTTATAGTATTGTATGTATTAATAATAAATTAAATTATATAAAATATTAAATTAATTTTTGCTATTATAAATATATTTTTTTACTCATCTTATATACCTACATAAATTTTATGTAATTGGTATAGTGAACTAACATCAGTAGCGCCAATGCGTGTTGTTATATGTCTTGTATGTGGTGTTACGTATGTATCTATATATTTTTGTCATAAAAAAATCAGCATTGTTGATAAGTATCTTTCATATAAACTGAGTTTTAGTATTGTGTCAGTATCTATAATTAAAGAATCTACAATTTAAATTAAATTTTTACGTTACTTTGAAATATAACATAGTAATTGTCACTAACATTTATTGTAATTATATTATAAAGTACGATTAATAAAATGTAATTCTAATTAACAATTTCTAAAAGTTCTGATAATTGATATTTAAGATTTAATCGCGCTTAAAAGATATATATATATCATTAAAGGAATGTTTAATGTTTCAGGGACATAAAGATATTAAATTATCTATTTGTTCAATACTGTCATATTGATATTGTAGTGTAAACAAGTGTTATCAGACATAGCTATGTATATTAAGAAATTTAAAGAGTGTTGACAAGAATGTGCAAAATTACATTTTCAAGTAATACAGTGTGCCGTACAGCAATATCATAGTTAAAGTTTTTGTATGCGTAGAGTTAATAACTCATATTTTCTTTTAAAAAACGTTAACAAGACTAAAGATTTCTCTGAAAAATGCATGGAATTATTGAACTAATTCTGAACAGTGCTTTATTGTGGATATTTTCACAAACTATCTGGAGTACCTTAATAAGTGTCTTTTACAATTTTTGCATACCATGGATTGTTTGGGGTTCTTTTATTATCGCAGTTGGATTAAAAATAGCAAGGATTCCACCACCAAATTTGAGCATTGTGCAAGAAGTGCTTGGTGTAAATCCCCTTTCATTGAAAAAAGATAATACTATGTTCAAAGATCATGGTAATGGAGAACAATATTGCATGCGAGTGGTGGCTCATCGTGGTGGAGGATATGATTTCCCTGAGAACAGCTTAACAGCCTTTCGTAATGTAAAATCTTATATATAATAATGGTTTTTGTTTTTACATTAGGCAATTGTTGAAAAAATAACAAATTCATTTGTTTGTTTATTAACTAGTTTATTTGACACCTTTTAACAAAAGCAGTTTTATAATACAAATATAGATACTAATATAGTAGCTATAGTGTTGTTACTAACAAAAATTGATTACTTTAATAAAAATAATATATTTTAGTTTATCTTATATCACTATAAAACAGTGATCAGAATATGTATGAATATTCAATATTTTATAGAGCAAAGAAAAAGGATGTACAGCAATTGAGCTTGATTTATGTCTTACAAAAGATAATGTGCCTATAGTATTTCATGATCCAACAATTGATAGAGTTACTGGAAAAACTGGTATGATTAAAGACATGACCTGGGATCAATTAAAACAATTAGATATTTCCCATAATCATCCACTTAAGTAAATAAATAATGTATTACAAAATATTACGTTACATTATATATGCAAGATATTACAAAAATGATATTTATGTATAATTTTTTTTATGTACTACAGAGATAAATTTATTGAAGGTGAAAAAATTCCATTGCTTCATGAAGCTCTAGAAATATGTTTATCAAATGAACAAAGAATAATTATTGATATAAAAGAAACCAAAATGGAAATAGTGCAAGTAATTTTAGATACATATAAAAAGTATCCAAAATTATTTCAAAGAGCAGTTATATCCAGTTTTAATCCTATTATTGTATATATGGTAAAAAATATATTAAAAATGATGACACGATACAAAAATTAATGATAGTTGTGTCAAATAATTTTATTATTACAGATTAGAAGAAAGGAACCTCGAATTGTGGCAGGTCTTGCATGGAGACCACATTTTTTTTCAAGATTGTCATATTCAGCTCTAGATGTTCTAGGTCCAGTGAAATATAGCAATCCACTTAAACATATAGTAGCGTGCTTGTTTGATCATATTTATGAATGGGTGTTCCATCATTTTGCATATTACATTGTGGGTGTATCTACTGTATTATTGCACAAAGATATAATAAATCCGTATGTACTTAAATTCAGTTCTATGTATAATGTTAAGTAATTATTTGTAGTAGTTATTTATATGTATATTCTTTATTTTAGGCGTATTATAAAAGAATGGTATAATCGTGATATTCGTGTAATGGCATGGACAGTAAATCTACCATCAGAGAAATTACATTTTTCCCGATTAAAAGTTACTTATTTAACGGATACATTGTTAGTTGAAAAAGATATGTAATAATATATTACATATTCTATATGTTCTAAATGAACATATTTTATATTATTGACATATAAATTACTACATTAAATGATGATCTAGTCCATTCATCAATATGATGAATCTTATTTACATCTTTTTATAAGACAATTTTTATTTTGTTAAGTAAACTAGCAAAAAAAAAAACACATGAATCTTTCTTAAAAAAAGTTTTTATTAAATAATATACTACTCTTTTGATATACATCTATTTTGTATGCTTATCTCATGTATCTGAAGTTTACATTTAACGTAAACTAAGAAGTTTGTTATAATGTTTGAAAATTGTACGTTCGTACATTTTTTAATATTTGTAAAAAGTTACTTCAATGTTGCCATAATTATATATTATTTTTACACATTACATTTACACTACAAATTTTATTATAATTAATATTAATACTTCATAATTATGATTTGAAGTTTATTTTATGGACGGAAATATTTATTTTGTAAATATTTATGATGAAAATTCAGAATATTAATTATAATTAATAAATTTACTACACAATAGTAGTAAGCTTACTTTTTCGGGATTCCATACCTTGAATAAGTCCTGTTAATAAATCTTCCATTTCTGTGGTAGCACGTTTTAATTTGCAATTGTCATTAGCAACATAAGATTCTAAAACAATAATTTATATAAAAATATTGATATATATATATACACATATATTATTTATAGTACCTATAGTATACTATATAGTAATATATATTATTCATAGTAATACCATCCAATAGACGATCATCTGTAACCATATTTTGCAATCTATCTAATATATCATTTAGATCGCCTTGAATATTTTGCAAACTGCTATGTTGTGAATGCTTATCAGGTCTTTGTAAAGACGATGGTGTATTATCTCTGTGAATACCTATGAGAGAATCAGATATTGCTAAAGGCGATTCATTTTCAGTGTTAGCTGTCATTTTTATTAAATATTTTTCTCCTTTACTATCTGAATTGTTAGAACCCAGCCATTGAGAAAAACCACTATCAGCCGGCTTCATTTCTAATCTCTTTGTACCTAATAATTAAAAGTTAAGTTAAATATATATAAATTAATGAAATCACAATTTTTTAATGTTCTATTAGATGTTTAATATCTTAAAATAATAAAACAGATACAACGTACCTCCAATCCATGTACTTAATTCTATTTGAGTAGGTTCTAGTACATTACTGAATCCTAAACTTGTAGATGCTTCTGCAGAATCCATAATGTCATGATTTTGTTTATTAATACAATCTCCAGTTCGAGTGAAATTATTTGATTGTAATATATCTGTAACATTTACATCTGAAATGTGTTCTACATTTTCTTGTCGAATAATTGGACTTAATTCAAAATTTATAGGCAAGCATGTTAATCTTGATGAAAGAGCAGGAACCATTGGTGTACTTTGCATATGATTAATTACTTGAGGCATACGAATCCTATCAGTAAACAAACACCTCTGCAAAAAATTAAAGTTCATATTATACCATTAGACTTTAATAATATCAATTATTAAATAACGATATACTTTTAATAATTTTAAACGTTGTAATTGCGATTCGATTGTAACTCTATGACGTTGAAGTCTTTCTGCCTTAGTACCCTGTATATCAAGCAATTCAATTTGTAATTGTTTATTTTCCTCTTCTAGATGAGTAATTATACTTTGTAGTTCTTTTTGTGGATCACTTAAAACTCGTCTTTTCATTGTACTTCTTACTGATTCGCAATCAGTATGTGTTATTTCATTACTATAATAAATATAGAATTTATAAAATAAAATAATTATAAAATTAAATACATTTATATATCGTAATATTGCCTTAGAATAACAACCTTATATGTGGAATGTTTTCATCAACATTTAATTCAATAGATCTAGCAGGACATAATCTCAATTTGTTTCTTATTAATTCAATGACTAATTTTGTTAATTCTCGATTTGAAGTCTGAAAAATATTATAACATTTCATATTAATATAATCAGAAATTTTTTCAAGGCTTTTATGGCCTTATTACAGAATAATATAGTGTTACTTGATCTCTTATGAAGTTAAGAGCAATGTAAAAATATCTTTCATAAGCACATAGCTTACACCTGAAGGCCTGTAGTTTGAAAATTATACATTAGTATACCTTAGTACAAAATTCACGAATTGGATGTTTCAATTTATGCTTTCCAGATATTTTGTCATATAAGAAACAGTGTTGACATTGATGATATGATGCACATTTTAGACATGTATATCGTGGTCCCTGAATTGGTATTATTTTACAAGATGAACACCTAACATTATGTATGACTGAAAAGAAGAATTTATATTTAATCTTTTAAAATTTGTCATTAAATATTTTAAAATATGAAATGTACATACTATATTCTGCAGATTTTATACGATTAAATGTTGTTACCCAAACAAGTAAGGGAGGTTCTTGCATAATCCATGCTGCAAATTCTGATTCGGTAACTCCAAGACATCCTTGAGACTAATGTTGTAAAATATTATAAATTATAATATAATTGAATTAATAAATAATTATTAATTCAAACAAATTTAAAATAATATTCAATCATACTTTTGAAAAACACTTATCAATATGTGATTGGATATTTTGAGATCCATATGCTGCACTTTCTCCAAGCATTTCCGTAATTTTACAGATATTTGTCAGTAATGAATGTAAACTAGCTTTGGATAAGCATGCATTATGATCAGCTAATTGTTGATAAAGATATCCATACTTCTCTTGTAATCTTCCAGAGCTAATTAGTACTAAAGCAACTTTCACAGAAAATACAGAAACAGTCTTAGCACATTGCCTATATTTAAATAGCAAAACATTATCTATTTTTTCAATTTTAATTAACAATTTAAATAATAATATATTTATACTTGTCATATGTTGTTAAAATATAATTTAATGCCAATTTTGTTACAAAATCAACATCAAAATTGGTACTATTTTCTTTGCATGCTGCAAAATAAATATCAGAAAGAACATCTTCAATTTCACTTGAGTCTAAATTCACACAATTTTCTGTAATTGAAAGTCTATGCCGTTCAAAAACTCCAGCAATTAATTGTAATTGAACATATTGCACTGTAAAAAAATATATACTATTATTGAATACAAACACAATAAAATTGTTATTGAATAAATACACAATAAAAAAAGTAATTATTGTAATGTAAAAGTAATAAGAATATGATAAATCATATTAATTCTTATTATATATATATATGTATATTAACTTACTATTAAGTTCCTTATGCAAAATTTGCATTTTTGCTGCAGTTCTATAAGATGTATAGCGGATAACATTACATTGCTCTATAGATTGTATAATACTTTGCATCTTTAAATATTTAATCTTAACTCACTACCTAAAAGAAAAAATGTTACATTTTACATAAAATTTTGATTTTTTTAATATTAGAATATTTATTATTTATTTATAATAGAATATTTACAGATATCACAGTCATATTATAAAATATTTTTATAAAATAGTTACCAGCTTATAAAATCCAAAAAGAAACATTTTATATTACTTACAACATTAAAAATTCTAAACAAAATAGTTCATAAATTTTATCATAATATACCAATTACTAAAAAAATTATTATTTTATTTATATGTATTTTTTTTAAATTTATAATTTAACGTATCAAAAACTTGAAAATTTTTAATATTTGATTATATTGCATTATAGATATTTCTGTTGTATTATATTGTCCACTTATTACAAATATAATCATTTCTCAATGAAAAATTATAATTAAAATCTTAGTCTATTTCATCACTCACAACTTTATAATTTAAATACTGAGCATGTAAACAAATAGATATTTTACAAATTAGTCATAGATAATAAAGATTGTAGAGAACATAGTTTTGAATATATCTAAAAAATATTTAGCGTGGAATAATGAAAAGTTATTAAACAATTTATTATAAATATCAGGTAATTGATTCAGAAATTATTTAAGTGTTTAAATTGTAAGTATAAATATATAATAATTTATAATTAACAAAATCGAAATAAACTTATTTTCAAATAAGCATTTATATTATTCGAGATACGCCTTTATATATATATATATATATATATGTGTGTATGTGTGTATGTATGTTGCAACTAGGCTATAAAAGATAATTACTAACACAAGTATCGTAACTTAATTTGTACCAAATTTTTGAAAACTGTGATATTCACATTCTAGTTCTTCTATATTAGTATAGATATATAAAGTAGATACAAAGAAATAAAATTTTATCATGTATGGGTATAATGAAGAAGATCAATTCAGTGATGCTGATGAAACTGAGACGAAGTATTTACATATATTATTTGTAATAACATATGAAAAATATTGATTTTGATCTTATTACAGGTTAGAAACGTGTCAACAATTATTTCGTTATCAATTGCCCAAAGCTGTGCAAAACCTACATATTTCAAGCAATAAAAAAGACGAGGATTATGAGAGTTATGATGATAATTTAGAAAATAGTGATTTTATTTGGGATGAGAATCAAAGTAAAACTGATTCAAAAAATATTACCAAAAATATTCGAACACGAAATATTAATACACAAAATGTTTCCAATAAGATTACTAATTATCAACCATCAGATAAATTATTTCGTCGTTATGCTAATAAAATTAATATTGAAAAATATGAAGGTCCAAATTTACCAGGGCATGCAACAAATCTCCTGATTGAAAATGATAAACGTGTTGAAAGAGAAAGATTTAGAACAAAAGACAAACATGATCGTGCAACTGTTGAACAAGTTTTAGATCCCCGTACAAGAATGATATTGTTTAAACTCTTAAATCAGGGTATAATTGCAGAAATTAATGGATGTATCTCAACTGGAAAGGAAGCTAATGTTTATCATGCAACATCAAAAACAGGAATAGAATTTGCAATAAAAATATATAAAACATCAATTTTACAATTTAAAGATAGAGACAAATATGTTACAGGAGAATTCCGTTTTCGTAACGGATATTGTCGAAATAATCCACGAAAAATGATACGGACATGGGCAGAGAAAGAATTTAGAAATTTAATTCGTCTTCAGCAAGGAAATGTAATTGCTCCAAAACCAATTTTATTACGTAGTCATGTGCTACTAATGGATTTTATAGGAACTAACGGTTATCCATCACCAAAATTAAAAGATGTTGTTCTGACCGCTTCTAAACCAAGAAAATTATACAGAGAATGTATTGAAATAATGTGGAAATTGTATAATAAATGCAAGCTTGTTCATGCTGATTTAAGTGAATATAATATGTTATATCATGATGAATCTATTGTAATAATAGATGTATCACAAGCAGTTGAACATGATCATCCTATGGCACTTGAATTTCTTAGAAAAGATTGTACAAATGTCACTGGTAAGTTTCATAATGATTTTACTAACAAGGTTTATAAAGATTTTAGTTATATATTTTAATATTTTTGTAGAATTTTTTAAGAAGAATAAAGTAGGTGTGATGTCTATTAAGGCATTATTTGACTTTATAACGGATCCAACGATAACAGAAGAAAATTTGGATAAATATTTAGATATAAAATCAAAACAAATGTCACAACAGAATGACCAAGATGATCCTAAACAACAAATAGAAGAACAAGTGTTTAAGCAAGCTTATATTCCTCAAAACCTAAGTCAGGTAATATTGTGGAATGTAAATATACATGTATACATGTTAATTATTCATGTATACATGTATTAAATTATAATATATACTTCAATATAATGTTTAGGTAATTGACATTGAACGTGACATTAAACTTGCTAAATCTGGAAAAGAGGATTTGATATATAAAACTCTTATTGGCTTAAAATCAGACTTGTCTAAGCCCATTGATACTCCTGAAATTCTCAGTAAAAACTTGAAGGAAATGGATAACACAGAAGAAAAAGATAATTCGTCTGAAGAAACTGATGATTCTAAAGTCGAAAATAGTGAGGAAGAAAATACAGAAAATGAATCAAAGTTTGTTAACTCGGCACGACCACGGAATGAAAGTCCAAACAGTAAAAAGGTAATACAATTATCATTTATAATACATTTATATGTGATAGTATATGAAGTATAATAATATATATATTTCATTAAAGGCACGAAAAAAAGCAATAAAAGAACAACAGGCAGAAAAAAGAAAAACAAAAATAAAAAAACATATAAAGAAGAGGAGAGAAAAAGTCATGAAAAAAAAATAATAGTTAAAATATTACCAGAAAACATTTCAGTAAGTTTGAAATATAGAAACGTTATGTGAAACTAAAATTTAATTTTAATTTACAAAACTTAGAATAATAAAAATTTCCTGTCCAATAAAATTTGATGTATATTATAAAATATAATGTATATTGGATTCTTTATATATATAATCGATACATCGTGTATAAAGTTACATATTCATGAATTTAGTTTTTTTTTCACTCAAGTGTTTCAGATAACTGCCATCTATCTTTGGTTCGCAGTATACCTAACTAGGGTTTTCTTGTACAATGGATAATTTTTATATTGAATGATTGAACAATTCGTGTATTGACAATAAAAAAATAATGGAAAACTATTTTGGTATTAATATTTTATTTTTTTACATATTATAATATTAATAAATTATATTATTTATTTTGTTTCATAAAATTAGTTAACGCAAAAATAATAAAGGAATGTGAGAAGTTTCTCACAACAGGTTGTTCGAAGTTTGATAAGTTACTCCAAGGTGGTATTACTACTCGCGGTATTACACAAATTTATGGAGCTGCAAGTACAGGAAAAACACAATTAGCTTTACAGTTATGCCTGACAGTACAATTACCTATGAAAGAAGGTGGTTTTGCTGCTGGTATTTTATAAATTATATTCTCCATAAAGTTATAAATAAACATTAACATTTTCTTGTTTGTCACATATATATTTTTTTTAAGTATCTAATGATTAATATAGGTGCAATATATATTTGTACTGAATCTGTATTTCCATCACGAAGATTACAGGAATTGATACAGAAACTAGAAATTACTAAAAAATATGGAATAAACGGTGATTCAGTATTTGTAGAACACATATCAACTATTGTAATTAAAATATATATTTTTTTAATTAATGCAATAACTTTTTAATGCAATATTTAATCTTTTATTTTTGTAGGAGAAATTGGAAATATGTTTGCTTCATAGAATTCCAATATTAATGTCTGCAAAAAAAATAGGATTAATAATTATAGATTCAATTGCTGCTCCATATAGAGTAGAAGACTGGAATGATGAATCTAATAATAGGGCGAAGAGTTTGAGAACAATTGGACAACAATTACATAAATTATGTAGAAATAATATTTGTGTAGTTTGTATTAATCAGGTAAAAAGAATAAACACTATATATACTATATATAATATGAATATTTATGAATGAATATTTTAGTATAAAAATTTCATAGAAAATTTATAAATAGGTAGCAGCAGTTATACATAGTAGTATACTTAATGATAACTCAACCGTACGACCAACTTTGGGGGCAACTTGGTTAAGTATGATAACTAGTTCTATAGAATTTTATAGAATAGATTCTATGAGATACGCTTGCGTGAGATTGTCATCAAATTTACCAGAAATAACTATTCCATTTAAAATACAAGGATGTGGAGTTCAAGCAATAAGTTAAACAAAGCAAAATAAAAGTTCAGTGTTTATTTAATTGCAAGAGATTATAAATATCATAAAATATATCTTCATCTAATATCCTAGCAACATTTGTTGGTGACCATTGATTCTTTGGATCAGAAGCTACAAATGGATCTGTACTTCTTACATCTAAATTTTCAATATCATTGTTCAATATAAGCCTTAAAAAATATAAATAATAAATACACAAATAATCTTTTTATATATATAATAATTTTTTCTTTTTAATTATATATACATATATATGTAATACCTGAAGGAATGTAAAAATGTTCTATAAGGTTCTATATCTTTTCTTTCGCTATATGTATAATCTCCAATCACAGTATGACCAATATATGAACAATGTACTCTTAATTGGTGTCTTCTTCCTGTAGCAGGGCATAATAGTACTTTAGTAGCTGGTTTTCCATTTCTGAAACCTTTCTCTAATACTATAAGAATTGTATATGAATTTTTTGGTTTTTCACAAAATAAGCTGTCACTGATACACATTTTATGATTTCCCTCTTTCTCTCTGACATCAATTCCTAATAAAATAATGTTAATATTAATACATAATTTTTCAGATTAACAGTATTAACGTTTTGTTTTAATTACCAACCAATAGCTTTATCTATAATAAGATAAGGTTCATTAATATGGCCATGAAGTAGTGCCAAATAAAATTTTTTGGCTGTTCTTGCTTCAAATGCATTAGAAGCAGCTCGAGCTGCCTTTTTATTTAATGCAATACATATCACACCACTTGTTGCATAATCCAATCTATGTACAAAATGAAATTCATGAAATAAATTTGGATTGACTAATTTTGGTAAGATTTTTTTTAATTCAAATTGCAGTGTATCCTAAAAATTTTAATATTTATCAAACTAATAAGTATAGTGTCCATAACTTAAAAATATTCTTTTCATACCCTTTTCTCACGATTATTGCTATTAATACACATATCATATGGCTTGGAAACTACTAAAAAATTCTCGCTATGATATAATATATTTATATCATTTTTATGTTTCATTTTAACAAAATATTTCATACATGATTTTAACAATAAATTTAATATTTGTATTAATTTGAAAATAAATATCCAACAATTGTATAATATTTTATTCATATTCATTTTATACAATATTAGTTATTATTCTTGTAAAAAAAGTAAAATATACATAACACCGTTACACTGTCAAAATAAACATTGATTATCGTATTTACGGTTGCCTTTGTAGTGGCTGCCTGTTTCTCATTTTAAATTTTGCTTATAACTTCACACTGATTACAATGGCTGATGCATCAATGACTTTTAATATGTTTCGTAATTTTTTTTTCCGTCAATTATGCACATTAAATTCAAACTACGAAATTTGACTTTTGGTAATAATTTGAATAACTACCGCGCCGTGGATATCTCTTGCAAAAGATTGTATATATTTTAAATAATTCCATAGGTATATAGAGGGCAGCACTTGTTTTAGTATTTCTGGTTTGGACGAACCGTTGAAAACGTTTTATGCTATTACGCTATGAGAGAAAGTCTTATCGTTGACTACGTACTGTATAACGGTATTTCTAATTTCATTTTAATCGAATATTATTGATTAATTTTTTTTAGCGGCTACTAAAGAAAGTTTTGTACTATATTCTGAAGATGTTTCGAACGAAAAAGGATGTTGACCGACACGTGAAAGACATTTTTATCAAACTCAAAAGCTCAGAGGAGGTAAGGTTATTTTTTGAAAGAAAGAACCGTTTTTTTTTTAAACACTAGTAAAATATCCTTACAATGATGTGTTCAGTTATTTCTTAAAACCATCGTTTCGTTTTTATTTTATATGCGCATTAATTCGTTATGTTTATGTGTAATGTCAAATGTATTGCATAGCGCCAAAGGCCTTGACTTGATTATGAAAAAGATACATACATGCACATGTGCTAACTTATATGTAGTTTGGCGGCTTTTTCTAACTAGAGCAGTTAACGTCTTTTTAGAAAATAATTTTGATCTTGCATTTCATTAAAAAATATTATTTTTATACTTGTTCAAATATTTTTTAAATGATTCAGAGTTGTGCAAATGTTTATTTACTCTAATATATATGTTTGTATTATTGCTTTCTTTCTTTTTTGATGTTTATGATATCTAATATTTTTGTTTCTTTTTTAAAGAAAAAGCTTCGATGTTACAATATTGCAAAATTATATTACCAAGTTGGAGACCATGAATCTGCAAAAAAATATGTTTCAAATTATTTGGAAATAAGAGATAAATCTGCAGGGGCTCATAAATTATTAGGTCAAGCTCTTGAAGCTTTGGGACAAAAAGAAGCAGCCTTTATGCAATATAGAATATCTCTTGAATTAGAACCAAAACAAGATGATCTTCTTTTAAAGGGTATAATTAAATTTTTAAAATTTGTTATTTTACATTTCAAACCATCATGTTAATAATGGTTTTTAGTATGTGAGCTATTGCCTGACATGGATGTTAGTATAGACATGAATGAAATTCAATACTGGGTAGAGAGAGCTGATAAGAAATTTCCACATCATCAAATAGTTTTTGAGCTAAAGGAAAAATTATTAACTTTAGAAAAACCAAATGGTAATGATGACGATCTAGAAAAACTTATTTTATGTAAGTATCAAAATTTTTCTTATGTAATTACTTGATATAATTTAATTTTATTTATTTATAATAATATAACTTTTTTTTAGCTGAATTATCGGTAAGACAAACAGATGTGCATCTACAAGTGAAGTTGCTCAAACATTATGTAGGAAATCAGAGACTTGAAGATGCATATAATAAAGCAGCTGAAATTGAGGCAACACATTGTCACAGAAATAATATTGTTTGGTATCAATCAATAAGTGAATTACTTGTGAAATGTAAAGAGAATAAACAGTCAGATTGGACATTTTGGATATTTTATATTTCCGTGTTAGAAAGATACACGGCACTTTGCCTTAAAGAACAGGGTAATGTTATTAGAAAAAGTATAACGGATATCACACAAGCAGTATTTAAGTAAGTACATTTATGAAATATATAGTTTATTAGAAATATATATATATATAATTATTAAATTAAAATATTTATATTGCAGTTTTGATCAAGGTTTATTTGAATTTAAATCAAAAAACTTTTCTAATCATCCTGCTTTTATTGAACACATGTTACTACATATGTGGGGTCAATTACATTTTCATTTAGCATATTTAATTTTACGGAAAACTAAAGTTGTTGAAGATAGTTGGTCTGAAGCAGGTAGATTGTGTGGATCTCTTTTGTTAACTGCATTACATGTAGCACCTATAGATCCTACTGCAGTATGGACTATGCATTTGAAAGATAGATTTAAGAATCAAGTACATGTTTGGTATAGAGAAGGAGCATACAGATATAGCCAAGCTGGTCATGTACTTCGAGATTATGCCCGTGATAATACTAAGAAATTATTAGATAAAATTGATAAATTTTGTACAAGTTCATGGCGAGAACGAGTATACCAAAGAATCTTTGTTGGTCGATTATATCAGGACCGTAAAACAACATCATATTTCGCGAATTCTTCAATTTCAAATCCACCATTACGTTTATGCTCATTTAATGAACTTAAACGATTTGATGAAATATCGGAAGAAGTATGGCCAGATTCATTACATCATCAAGTTTGGCTTGGTTTAAGAGCAAGACCTCATAGCTCAAAAAATAAAGATAATGGGCCGCATCCAAATCAAACATCTCATGTTTTTTGTGAATTACAATTTTCTGTTTATAATTTACATCAAGCAGCTCCTGAAAGTTTAAGTCGTCTCGATATCGATGCATTTTTGAATGCTGCTATCTGCACTTCTTCAGTAATTGAAGAACAACAATTGAGCGGGCTTTTGAATCCTGAAAAACTACCTACATTGCCAGCAGATCTTACCAATACTCTCTGTACTTGTGCTCAAGAACAGTGGTGGTCTTACGCTTATAAAGTATATTCTATGGATAAACAAAAACCACTCGACGATGATATTGGAGAATTGAGATTAGAATTACAAAGAGGCTTAGAGGTAATTCGTTGTCTCGGAAATCACGGATTACATCCTGTTCTTTTAGTTCACTTAGCGCGAATATTTCATCATAGAGCAGAGATATTGAAAGAAATAGATCAAGAAAGTAGTGACATACCATATTTAGAAGCACGATCTGAAATGTATTGGTCAGCTGCAATACCGCTTCTTGAAAGATTACAGAATAATCAAACTATTCGTATAACTAATTCTAAATTTTTCAACTATCAAGGAAAAGATATGAACAATGCAGAATTAATTAAAGCTTTAGAAGAAGGTAAATTGCTTCTGGCTCAACAATTTGTACGCAACAAACAATATGAGAAAGCCATAGATGCACTACAGGCACTAAAATGTCCAGAAGCTTCAGTTCAACAAGGCCAAATGTATGAAAAGCTTGCAGATGAGATCGTCAGTTCTATACCCAGAGAAAGTTTAACATCTGAAATGAGATCGCAACATATAATTATGCTTTCAAAAGCAAGAGAATGTTTTTATCTAACATTAGATCGCTTACGCAGTCCAAGTACAGATCCAAAACATCCTTTGAACTCGCTACTTTCCACATACATTACCAATATTGAAAACAAATTAAAAAGAATCGATCCAGATCTGTCACAAGGTGATTTAAGTCGAAATGAATGCGATGGGATGTCAGATGAAAGTTATTCCTCTGCTCATAGTGCTCCTGATCAAGCAGTTACAAAAATATCAACATTAACGGGATTAAATCCTTCAGTTAACATTTTGAGTACACCACAGAAAAACGTACATCGCACACCAAAACAATCTAGCACTCCTTATAAGGCATATCAGGATATATTAGATTTATCTCGAAATCGTTCTGAAGCACGTCCAAGTCCTGAACGCCTTGATGCTCAAATTCGTTCACTAAATCAAATGATACATGCAAAGGATAGTAAGATACAATCAATAGCAGAGCAAAATAAAACTATATTGGAATTGAATAAAACAGTAATGGAAAAAATCGAAAAATTAGCGAAAGAAGTAACAGAATTACGAAAAGAAATTCAGAAACAACGTACTCAAATAGTCAATCCAATAGTTAATTCCAATCTGGAAGAAGATTTATGTATTTTAAACGAGGATGATTACAATGATTTGAATTACAATGCAAATCAATCAGGTACCGCGTCTTCGATATCCGGGAATATATTCCAATCTTCTCACAGACATCCATACTCTCAGTTGGTATATCCTTCAGCTACTTTTCAAGGATATTATCCGACAGGAATGTCATTCAACGATCCAAACACGCAAGCTATTCCTTCTTTATATCCACCAAATGTTTATTCAATGCCGGTATTGTATCCTAGTACAAGATCAAAAATGCCTGAAAATATTCTTCAACAAAGTTTATTTATACCGCCGACAAATCAATCATTGCAAATTCCAATGCAAAAAGTAGAAACATCAAAGCCAGAGTCAACTATAAAGGATGCTCCTGTAAATAAAATTCCACCAGTTAATGTTGCCATTACCACTTCTGATACACTTCCAACTACAGCACCAATTACCCAGCCAACACTTAGTGTAACAATTCCTCCACATTTCAGACAAGGTAGTTCTTCTACTCCAATTATCGCAGAACAAACTGTTCCACATTGTTATCAAATTTCTATGCCTTCCCAAGCTACTATACCAACAACAGTAAACTTACCACCTTTGTCGAATACTCTTACAACTACTCCAGCAAATCTTTCTGTATCAGAGACATCAAAGCAAGAAACTACTATTTGTTCAACTGGATCTGCAAATAGTTCAGATCATGAACATGACCCAATACCAGACTTTGTTCCTGTGATACCATTACCTGCAGAAGTTAAAGTCACGACCGGAGAAGAGGGTCAAGAGACACTATTTTGCACAAGAGCTAGACTTTATCGTTTCGTGAATAATGAATGGAAAGAACGTGGTACAGGTAATGTTAAATTACTTAAAAATGAAGAAGGAAAAATTCGTTTACTTATGCGCAGGGAACAAGTATTAAAAGTATGTGCAAATCATTATATTGTGCCAGAAATGGAGTTAATTGCTAAATCAAATAATGAAAAAACATGGTTTTGGGTTGCACATGATTTTGCTGATGGAGAGTTGAAAATAGAAAAGTTTTGTATTAAATTTAAAACCGTTGAACAAGGTATTTCCTTTAAAGAACATTTTGATAAAGCTAAAGCAAGTCTTATTTCTGAAAAAGTAACTGAAAATACTGATAAATCATCAATTAAAATCAGTACTACATTAAGTGGTTCTAAAAAATCAGAGAAAAAACCAGACTTGAAAGCTGTAGAGCAAACACCATTTATTTCTGGGCAAACTGTTCAAAAACAATCTACAGATGTAACTTCGACTACAGAAAGCATTACATCAGACAAATTAAAATCTAATGCACCTACAACAGTTATTGGTGGATTTTCATTTACATCAACACCAGTTATTCAAAAACCAGCGATTACTGAACCTGCGAAAGTTCCTACTAAATCAGAAGTTAGTCCATTTGCTGGTTTTACGTTTAACAAGACTGTAACAAGTGTTGAAAGTTTTACAACTACATCCCAAAAAAGCACGACCACTGGCACAATAGCCACACCACCGTTTACTTTTCCATTTACAAAACCAACTACATCTTTACAATCAGGAACTACAACAGTACCAACTGTTAGTATTCATAACACACCAATTTCGTCTTCACAACCAATTAGTACTGCTGTTACAAACGAAAGTAGTTCTGTTAGTACTTCTCAATTTTCACTTAGAAGACCTCATGCCCCTGCTTTTGGAAATTCAACTATTCCAGCATTTATTGTGGGCATTCAAGATTCAGACAAATCTGTTATGCAAATTGAATGTGAAGAAGTATTATTCAATGAGAAAGTTAATCTTCAGTACTACAACAACGACATTAAACAATGGGAAAACAGAGGTACTGGACAGATAAAGATTTTATGGAATTCCAAAACAAATAAAATTCGCTTATTAATGATAGACGAAACCAATATGAAAGTTTGTTATAATTACAATGTTGTTGCTAAATTTTCATTTACAATCAAAAGTAATAGTAATACAGTTGTTAATTGGAATATACAATATGGTTCGGATAATAAAATCGGAATATTTGCAGCAAGATTTAAAACGTCTAATCAAGCATCTCAATTTTGTAATATAATTACTGGTAATCAGCAAAAAATGATAAAAGACTGTATAACTGCTGAAAATTTAAAAAAATCAGAAACTCTTCAAAATACGCAACCAAATAAAATACAGAATTCTTTGTCTGAAATGTTTAAACCACCACCTGGTTCGTGGGAATGCAATGCTTGCTATACAAGAAACGCCGCATCTGATGCAAAATGTTTGGCTTGCGAGGCGCCAAGTCCTATGTCTAATAAATCAACTACTTCGAGTACTGTTACATCAAATCAAATACCTCTTTCACAAATGTTTAAACCGCCTGCTGGTTCATGGAAATGTAAAACTTGTGACATAGTCAACGCAGCAGAAACTAACTATTGCGTCGCTTGCGATACACCAAAAGATCCATCTCTTCCACCCAAACCAAAAACTGATGGTTTTCAAATAAGTACAAGCTCTTCTGGAGTTACGCCTACATTTACCTTTGGTATTCCACAAGACGCTACTAAAAAAAGTACAAGTGGATTTTCATTTCGTTTATCTAGCACTAGCGATGTTTCCATAGATAAATCTACATCTTCAAAATCTGATGGGAAAACGGATACGTCAAATGCAAAATTTGTTTTTGGAATGCAACAAAAATCAAACACTCCAGCGAGCAAGGATTCATTCGTTTTTGGAACACCAGGAAAACCGTTTGGATTTAATTTTGTATCCAAATCGTCTCCAACAAAGTCTGGTGGTGAAGAAAATAGTGAAGATGAGGTAGTGGAAAGTGATGACATTCATTTTTCACCGATAATTCCATTGCCAGATAAAATTGAAGTTAAAACAGGAGAAGAGGAAGAAGAAGTTCTTTATAGTCACAGAGCGAAGTTATTTAGATACTATAAATCGCAAAATGTATGGAAAGAACGTGGTATAGGTAACATAAAATTATTACGGCATAAGGAAACAGGCAGATTGAGGCTAGTTATGAGACGTGAACAAATATTGAAGTTGTGCCTAAATCATTTTGTGCTTCCAAATTTGGAATTGCAGCCAAAGGATGAGAAAGCATGGATGTGGAATGCTGCTGATTATAGTGAAGGAGAAATCGAACCCACTCTTTTTGCATGTCGTTTTAAAACATCCGACATCGCAAATGATTTTAAAGATGCAATTGACAAGGCAAAGATGAAGCTTCTACCCATTGAAAAATCTATTGAAACAAAAGTAGAAGCAATTACCGAAGTTTCTTCTGCACAAGACATTGAAATTCTGTATGAGATGAAAGTAACACCCGAAGAAAAACAAGCTGCACTAAAGTTTCAGCTTCCAGAAAATTTCTACGCGTACAAACAAAAACCAGATTGTCCTGGATGTAGAGGTTGTAAAGAAGATTCAGATACATTATTACTTCCAGATGAAAATCCTGAAAAAGCAATATCAATATTAAAAACATCTACAGAGGGTCAAAAACCTCAGACTATTACATCTAGGACACAGTTACTTTCAAAATCTAATAATTCAAGCAACACATCTAACGAAATTACAATTATTCAAACACCTATTTCAACTAGTAGTACAATTGTTTCTTCTGTTTTCAAATCTGGACTATATGGTACAACCACACCACAATTTACAACAAATTCTCTATCTACAACAACCACATCAAGTATACCATTTGGAAATATTGATACTACTTCAAGTGATAAAAAGACTGGTTTTTCTTTTGTAATGCCTCAAACTGCGTCCAGTACAAATGAAATACAAAAATCTGATAAACAAAATACGTTAACACCTGAGAATTTCAAAATTTGCAGTCCCACTAATTCTCAAGGGCAAATAGAATCAACTACATCTTTTTCATTTATGACACCATCTACAACTTCTACATCTATATTTGAAATGGCAAAATTAGATAATACAGGAAAAAATATTTTTGGTGGAATGTTGAAAAAAGATTCCTCTGAGTTACTCAAGCCCAGTTCCATCAATGTCAGTACAACTAATTCTGAATCAGTATTTTCAACTAATTTCAACACTCAACCAAAAATAACTACAAATACTACAATGGCATTTGATGCTACTCCTATTTTCGGGACTTCTGGATTAAAAAGTTCTGAAAGCACAGCCACAGGTTCAACATCATTTGATGCATCTGCTAAATCTATTAATTCAGTATTTCCTAATACATCTGCATCATTTTCATCTGATTTATTCTCTGGTTCACGTACAAATACATCATCTTTTACAATTTCAAATCCTGTGACAACCAATGCTTTTGAAACAATAACACCAACAACAAGTGAAACAAAAAAGGAAGGTGAGGTTTTCTTTCCATCAACAGATGTATCATTTTCAACTTTAGCAGCCCAAAGTTCCCAATCTACATTTAAAACAGGTACATTTTTCACATTATTATCTACATAATAGCAATTTAAGAAAGTACTATTATACACATATTTATTTCGCAGATCCAAATTTTTCTTTTGCTGGTGCTGGGTCAGTTGTATTTGGATCAAAATCAAAATCTGTACAAAAAAAGAAAGAAGTTACAATAGAAAAGAAAGATGAAAACGAAGAGGAGGAGACAGATGATCAAATCGAAAATGATCAAGAACATGATCCTCATTTTGAGCCTATTGTACCTCTACCCGACATTATTGAAGTACATACAGGAGAAGAAGAAGAAGAGAAAGGTATAATTTAAAATAATTCTTTAAGAAAAAACAATATATCTATCTTTAAATGATCATATGTTTGTTATAGTATTTTGCGAAAAAGCAAAATTATACAGATACAATAAGGATGGGTCTGAGTGGAAAGAAAGAGGAGTTGGAGAAATGAAAATTTTACATCATGCAAAATATGGCCGATACAGATTACTGTTACGTCGATATCAAGTTCATAAAGTAGTATGCAATATCTTACTTACTCCAGACATTACCTTTAGTAAAATGACTTCGACGGATCGTGCTTGGGTCTGGGCAGGCATGAATTATGCTGAAGAACAACCATGTATAGAGCAACTAGCAGTTAAATTTAAAACTCCAGAACTGGCAAAATATTTCAAGGATACAGTTGATAGAATCCAGCAATCGCTAAGTGAAAGCCGTAAGGAATAAGCTGAAACCTCTTGTTTATAATGCTTCTCATAATCCTTGTTTGTGGCTGCATGTATATTCGTATATATTATACGCATACAAAACATACATTTCTTTATTATCAAACATATTAATATAGCTTTATATTATTAAATATACTATTATTTAAAAATATTATAATTTAGTATTAAATATGTAACGAAGAAACAGTCATGCAGAAATCTGTTTAAAAAATGATTTGTTATCTATAAGAAATTATGTTTCAAAAACATTTTTTGATTAATATATTTGATTGTAAAATTAATTGTGATAAAAAATGGTACTAATCATCATATAAATATGTGTAAAATTATTTTATTAAATCATATTTAATTTCATTCATTTTTCACATTTTTAATCAAGAAAATAAAATCAAAGACATTTTATATTTATGGCGCATAAAATTATGTTATTAAACTAATGTACTATTATAAATTTTATCAATATCTGTGGATTTTTTTTGTTAATAATTTCTAAATAATTATAGATATCTATATTAGAAACTAATTTGTACAAATACATTCTTAGTTGCATAACATTAAATAAAATGTTATTAATATATAAAACTCAATTTAAATTTTTTTCATCAATTAAAATAACATTGACCTCAACTTTAAATGTGTGCACTTGATATTTATATGAATTTTTATAAAATAACGGCTTTTATTTTGTCTTTCTGCTTGCACATAGCGTTTGTATTGTCAATTAAATCACGTTACTTCTTAATTAAAACAGTTTTTTAAATGAGTTTATAACTTTTATTATATAAATGCAGGAGAAAAAAATGTAGATGGTCCAGTAATAGAAGAACCACAAGATGGGGAAAATGAGGTAAATGAAGAAGAAGGCGAAGTAGGTGAAGTTGAAGTAGATGAAGTAGAGGATGAAGAAGAAGAGGAAGATGATGATGATGATGATGATGACGACGATGACGACGACGATGATGATGATGAAGATGAAGAGGAAGATGATGATGATGATGATCAAGCTTCCATTACTTTCGAAAAAAGGGCTACTTTGTTTACTAGATCAAGTAAAGAAAGTCAATGGAACCTTGTAGCTCTAGGAAATTTAATTATTTATTATGATTCTAATATTTTTGGTGAAAAAATAATATTAAAAGCAGATAAAACAGATGAAGTTGTAAGCAACACGATTATTAGTATGAACACAAAAATGGAGGTAAATTATATTATATTATATAATTATTTAACTGATTCCAAGTTAATAAACGTTACATTATTATTTTACGAAGGTAAATGGAAAAGAATGCGTTTGGACAGCAATTGATTATGCCTTGACATCGCCGAAAAAACGCACTTTACGTGCTACTTTTTCATCAGTTCATGTCGCACAGGAAATGTACAAACATTTTCAAGAAGTAAGTAAAAATTTGTCTAGAATGTAAAAAAGCAGTGCTAAAAATTAATGAATGATTTCAACAGGGAGTAGAATACGCATATCAAGCAGACATCAGTGAACCATTTTATGAAGAATAAAATAAAACGATTCCTCATATTTCTCACAATAAAGTATTGTATCTCTTGTAAACAAACCATTTAATTTTAATTAAATTTCAATTTATAGAATAAGTAGTTCTCAATTTCATCCGTTTTTGTGGGTGTAATTGTATAATAAATAATTGTACAAATTATTTAGAAATTTATGAAAATAAGTAAATTTTTGTCAATTTCTATGCGTTCCGCTCGTAAAAAAAAGATATATATGCAAAGATAGATTGATACTTGATTAAAAATTACGTATATAGTTGTAAGTTCGAATTTAACATGTGATATTTAAGAAACTTGATATTTATAAAAGTATTTATTACAATAAAAATGCATGCATGTTTCAAGCCTTATATTCCTTTGAATAACCTAAAAATAAATGTTTTATTCGTAACAATGATTAATGACTAGTAAAATCGCAAAGATTAATGACTCATTCGCAAAATTATTATCATCTGTTTTTTGCTGTTTACGAGCTGTTACATACACACATATATATGTACAAAGTACACATTTATATATGTACAAAGTTGCAATAGTATGTAAGTATTTAAAATACTGGACACTACGATTCGCTCCTGCCCGGAGCGAATATTTTTGATACATAGTTTATTATAATAAGATCTATTATTACAATGTCTCTTGCAACGAAAGGTATGTAACATTTAAGATATTTATTATATAGAAATAAAAATCTCTAGATATTTTGACTAAGGAAGACAAATAAATATTTTATTAAATTTCTTATTAATAGATTCCAAGTTTTTCATTTACTTTCTATAGTATCTTTGAATGAATGTAAAAAAATAATATATTTAAAACTTGATATATTGCAAAATGTTTTAAATATATAAATATTATAAATATACATAAACTTATAATTTTTTTCGTGACAGGAAATAAAAAAAATGTTTTAATGTAAAATAAATTTATAAATAAATAATTTATATTTAATAAAAATATATTAATATAAAAGTATATTTAATGGTATTATAAAAGTGATGTGTTATATATGTATATTAACAAATGTTAGGTGTTTTGCAAATATTTTTTTCGACCTTTGGACCCAGATATGACTGATTAAATGATCGAAAATAATTAACATAATAAAATATAAAATATAAAACTATTTTAGCTATAATTTAAATATAATTACATAAAAGCTATAAAATAATAATATGTAAATATATATTGAAATAATGTCTTCTTTTACAGGAATTTTTATTGTAGCTGCAAAACGTACTCCGTTTGGTACAATGGGTGGTGTATTTGCCAATAAAAGTGCAACTGATTTATCAGTTGTTGCTGTAAAATCTGCTTTGCAATCTGCAAAGTTAAATCCTGATAAAATAGATAGTGTTGTTTTTGGACATGTATTAGCTGTATGTAGTTAAATATTTATGCATATCAATTAATTCTTTTCATTAAATTTCCATTATTTTTGTAACATTTACAATTCTTTACAAGCTATCATCTGCTGATGGAGGTTTTTTAGCACGTCATGTTGCATTGAAGTCAAGTATACCTTTAGAAAAACCAGCATTTTCTGTAAATAGATTATGTGGTTCTGGATTTCAGTCAATTGTTAATGGTGCACAGGTATAGATAAAACTGGAATAAAATTTATTTGTAATAAATATTGTGCAAACATATGAGATAATTTGTAATTAATTAATTATTTTCAGAGTATTTTAACAGGAGAATCTAAAATAGTTCTAACAGGAGGAACAGAAAATATGAGTCAAGTTCCCTTTGTTGTAAGAAATATTCGTTTTGGTACAGCTTTAGGCCAAAAGTATGAATTTGAAGATGCTTTATGGCTTGGACTACTTGATACTTATTGCAATATACCTATGGGTGGAACTGCAGAGAAGCTTGGATCTCAATATAATTTAAAAAGACAAGAAGTAGATGAATTTGCTCTAAGAAGTCAACAATTATGGAAAGCTGGTAAGTGTCTTTTATATTGAATTTCATATTAATTATTTAAATTATTACGATAAATGAATAAAGATTGATTTTCAATTATTTTAGCCAATGATGCTGGTCGTTTCAAAGAGGAACTAGCACCTGTTACAATAACTGTAAAAAAGCAAGATGTTGTTGTTAATACAGATGAACATCCAAGGCCTCAAACAACTCCTGAAAGTTTAGCTAAATTACCTTCTATTTTTAAGAAAGATGGTTTAGTTACAGCAGGATCCGCATCTGTATGTTAAATTGTATTTTATTAAAGTTAATTATACTTCATACTTTCGGAATATATAACTTTTTTATATAGGGCATTTGCGATGGTGCAGCAGCACTTATCTTAGCTAGCGAAGAAGCTGTTAAGGCAGAACAGCTTACGCCGCTAGCACGTTTAGTAGGATATAGTATTGTAGGTGTAGAACCCAGTATTATGGGAATTGGTCCAGCTCCAGCTATCAGACAACTTCTTAAAGTTACGAATAAAAATTTGAATGATATTGAACTTGTCGAGGTAAAAATTTTAGGAAACATTTTGTTTAAATGTAGGTGTATAAATTAAATATATAATCATTTATATATTTTGTTTTAGATTAATGAAGCATTTGGAGCTCAAACATTAGCGTGTGCTAAAGAGTTAGATTTAGATATTAATAAATTAAACGTAGATGGTGGAGCTATTGCTCTTGGACATCCATTGGCTGCATCTGGTAGTAGAATTACTACACATTTAATACATGAATTAAGGTATGTTAATATTAAAAAATAAGAAATTAGTAAATATCTGAAATAAATTAACAAAAACGATATGTCACTTTTGTAGGAGACGAAAAAATGCAAAATTAGGAATTGGTTCTGCTTGCATTGGTGGAGGTCAAGGGATAGCTGTGATGATAGAAGCATTATAATCATGTCATTACAAAAGTTCTAAGGTTACAAAATTGTGATATATAAAGTATGTATTACAACAAATATTGAAACATACATGTATTATAAAATGTATGTTTATATGTTTACTTTTTATATTTTATATATAATATATTTTACATTTTATATATACAATAATGTAATGATATTGAAAAATTGTTGAAAAATTTGTATTTTTATATATTAATATTGATTATATACTATATTTATATTTAGTAGATTTTTATATTTAATGTTTTATCAAACTTATTAATGTTTAATAAATTTTAAATAAATATTTTTAATATTTTTCTACTGATTCTAAATATTTTAATATTTATAATCATTAATAAATTTAAGTATCTGTAGAAGTTTTTAAAACAGTAAAAATAGAATATGACATACGTAAAATCTAAAAATCACAAAACATAATAAAAATAGATTAATATATACAAGATGTTTATAATACATGTCCGTATTTTAATGAATTTATACATTAAAATCCGTAAAAAATATCATATGAACTTATATCCTACATAAGTATACATATCCTATATATACCTTGATTTTTGAGTTATAGATAATTGAAGAAAATGTTCCATGTAATTACCTTGTGCTTCAATAGAATATTACTGCATTTCTTTACACTCGCTCGAAAATACCAAGTATTTTTCGAATAGTTTCAAATCCATTCTGAATCCTTTCTTCTAAATTATGGACATCATTGAATACATAATAGATTTTAAATTATACCAAAAATAAAAATAAAGATTGGGATTTATTTAATTCATAGCAATGGATATTTTTGTAAAATTAGATAAAGTTTAGACGTATTACGATGTGCAGTAACATATACTGAAGTACAAGATTTATCTTTTTCTTTAATCATCTATAACTCGAAAATTAAGGTGTATAGGATAAAGACTGTAATATATTACTCTTTTACTTTATTGTTCAAATTCACCAAAGTATGGACATGCATTTAAAAATCATTTTTTATGTATGTATACATACTAGAACGAAATTTCGTAAAGACAAATCCATAATATTTCCAACAGTTATAATAAGAGGCCATTGAGTTCTTGTCATTATGATAAGTAAAGAATGATTAAAATTCTTGCTATTATTCCACCAATTATTTGCGTACGCAGATAAACATATCTTTATACTCTGTAAAGTACAATTTTAGTAATAAATAAGTAAAATTGCTACTAAATTTTTTATCACAGTTACATACATGAAGATATAGTTCATTTCCATGCCAGCAATATATAAAGATTTGATATGTCATGCAACACATATATAATAATGCACCAGATAACTCAGATGGTGCATAGTCTTTCATCTGTGAATGTAACAGAATACAATTACATAAATCGATTAAAATCATAATTAATACGCAAGATTTACCTGCGATATGTTGAATGCTGTTAGACAAACGATAATACAATTTACTAGAAGTTGAAAAAATATTAACGTACCAAATATATTTTGAATTTGTTTCGAGAAACTGAAAATATAATTTGTATTATAAATATATTTGGGAAATAAAGGTTCAGATTTATATGTTTAACTGAGAAACTTACTCAAATATCATAATACTATGTTTCACGCAATGTTTCAAATCTTCATATAATTTATTGTAAACCTCTAAGGTAAAAGTTCCAATACCAAAATTATCACTTAATATAGTATGTTCTTTTTCTACTGTGCAATGTATCGAAGAAATATTATAATTTAAGATTGTTAATTGACAACAAGTAGTCATTATGAGGCCTGTTATAAGAGTATCTATTGCTATATTGTTGATGCAACTTATAAAGACAACTATAAATTGATGCAAGCAAGTGATTTCGAAAGCCGGTGTAGATGTTACGTTGTAAGGAAACCATCCCGCCATTGGTAATTGTTTAGATGCTTTATTGGCTAGATATAATATTGGAGTACATCCCCAAGATATTATAGCTATGCCACCAAAACTTTGATAAGTAATATGATGAAAAATTCCTTGCCAAGTATAATACGTTACGATACGCTCGTATTTATTGTTATCTCGATTGAACATTTCGGTGTTTGTTATATCGATAAGATCTTTGATACGTTTATGATGACGAATAATATAAATTATCTATTTATAAATACAAGAATATGTTGAAGATTATAAAAAATATTCATCAGGGAAATACAATAAAATATCATTGTAACATATAATTTGATAAATATAGAAATGATAAGCGAAAATATTAAAACAATTACGTCACTATACGATATAATTTTTAAACTTTGTACCATGATGACTAAATATATAAACAGATATACATTAAATATTATACCTTTGCGGCATACGTAGAATATGACATAACGATAGGTACAGCGGCCATCATTAGCTCTAGATTTCCCCAATTTACAATAATGTACATGACTTCGCTTGCCATAGTAATTGCTAACAAAAATATTAAACTACAAGCCGTGTATATATTATACAAATATTTATACTTAGCCCATTCCGACCAAAATCCTAAATAGTAAATGATCGATAAACTATTTTGCAAATGCTTATTGGGGCTGATTTTTCTTAACTTAACTTGTCTCTCCGTAAAAATGTCCATTTTCTCAAACAAATCACTCAGGCTGCAATTCCATATCTTGAATCTACCTTTATAGTGAGAATACTGAACATATGTCAGTTTACCATTTGCCTCGTGGGCTCGTAACATTTACATTTAATTAAAGAGTTAGAGCAAGATTACAAGGCGATTTCATGTCCTGTAATTATATCGAGGAAGAGGGTACTTCCTTGTATTTATATTTAATTAAACGATATTCGGAAGGGACAATTTCACCCGACTGTAATCATGTTTGATTATAGGGAATATACCATTGTTAATTTTTAATGTTAATCGATTGCATCTCGTAAATCAAGGTACAATATTTCCTACGAGTGCAATACAGTGTTTCCTTGTGTTCAGATTGAATTGGTCAAAATTAAAGTAATTCTTTTAATTCAGTTTGAATAATGTAAGTTTTGAAAAAATCAGCAATACATATAAAGTTGTCTACTTTGATACGGCAGTTTATAACTCCGTTTATATAAACTCCATTTATTTGAATGAAATTGTAAGTATTAGTTGACAATTTGCTCGATTGTCGGATTATCGAAGCATGAGAAAAAATAAATAAACGGATAATCGAAGCATGAGAAAAAATAAATAAACACGTAATAAGCTTTCAATTTCACTTTTACAAGTTATCGCTATCTTATCATTTAACACGTAAGAATAATAATTGATAGGCTCAGACGATACGAATAATAACAACACAAACTTTTTAGCAAGTAGAATACTCCGAACAATCGAGATTTCTAATAACAGAGACTGAATTAATTATGAACCGGTTAATTCAGATCTTACTGTACGTGTTTCTGTCGATTGACAGGATTATGAAGTATCAGAAATAGAGAGATGAATGGACAAGTTCGATTCGTGGTGGGAAAGTTCCACCACTTATTTACGAATGAATGTTCTTAGGCTTATCTGATTACACAAGGTCCAAAGATTATTACTGTCTGTAAAATTCTACCTATGCAAATAGTAGTAGTATATTAACAGTTGAACTTTGAGTAAACTATTCAGTCTATTTGGTAACTCGAAGTAAGTTGCTTCAGTTATTGACAATATCTACGTCAGTTGTGCGAAATTTTAGTTTATTGCTGCATAGAAATGGCATCGGTTGCGACGCTTAGCAAGGATGTGCCTGACATCGAAGTGAGTATCGTGGTATTCAAAATTTGAGTGAAACATATTTTACTTTAAATTTTGAACGCTCTTTTTTTAGAATCTTTTAAGTTTGAACCCGAGAATAAAACCATTCGCTAACTTTGTTCCCTCGACGCATACCAAAGAAAATAAGAAAAAGTGGAAGAGGAATATTAACGAAAGCTGCAGTGTAAGATATATTACAGAACTAAATCTCTTCTCAATGAATATTATAAATTATAATTAACGCACGGTGTTTTTATATATAATAGATCGTCACATTATTATTTTGCAGATATGTCCATCTTTGACGAAGAATTTCGATGACATTAAGCATACCACATTAAGCGAGCGTAGTGCATTAAAAGAAGCGGCGCGTTGTTTAAAATGTGCGGATGCTCCCTGTCAAAAGTCATGCCCCACGCAATTGGACATTAAATCCTTTATAACTTCTATTTCAAATAAGAATTATTATGGGGCAGCGAAAGCGATTCTGTCCGATAATCCTCTCGGACTTACTTGCGGTATGGTTTGTCCGACAAGTGATTTATGCGTGGGTGGCTGTAACTTGTATGCATCTGAAGATGGACCCATTAATATCGGTGGTCTTCAACAATTCGCCACAGATGTAAGGAGATTAACTGTTTCCGGATAATGTTCCACATATCAAATACAGCGTACATAGCTCATTAATTGTTGTTCTTTAGATTTTCAAGCAAATGAACATACCCCAAACTAGAATTCCTGGCCAAAGTGTTCCACATTCTGATACTAAAATCGCTTTGCTTGGTTGTGGGCCAGCTTCTTTGTCTTGTGCAACATTCCTTGCACGATTGGGTTATGATGATATTACAATATTTGAGAAAGAAAATTATATCGGTGGCTTAAGCTCGTCAGAGATCCCGCAATATCGACTGCCGTACGACGTTGTTACGTTTGAGATAGATCTCGTGAAAGATCTAGGAGTGAAGATCGAACTTGGCAAAGCATTATCCGAGAATGATCTAACGATACAGGTATTTATGTGATTATTGGATTGAACTGCATTGCGATGCAATTGCAAAACTTAAACAGATTTTAACGTTGAAACTTCTTAGAGTCTCCAGAGTTCCGGATATAAAGCAATCTTCTTGGGAATTGGCCTTCCGGAAGCGAAGAATATTCCAATTTTCTCAAACCTTACGGAAGAGATGGGTTTTTTTACGTCGAAGAGTTTTTTACCAAAGGTAGCGAAAGCTAGCAAACCGGGAATGTGCGCATGTAAAAACAACGAACTGCCTTCTCTCCGTGGGAATGTTGTTGTTCTCGGAGCTGGGGATACAGCTTTCGATTGTGCTACCTCTGCCCTTAGATGCGGTGCGAAGAAAGTTTTCGTGGTATTTAGAAAAGGATTCACTAACATTCGAGCAGTTCCTGAAGAAGTAATTACCGTTATGTAAAACGAAATATGGGTTTCTTTTTGTATTATTTTATAATTTACGTTCTCCAATGTGTGTTCAGTTTGACCTAGCAAAAGAAGAAAAATGCGAATTCGTTCCTTTCCAATCACCTAAGCAGGTAATTACCCGAAATGGAAAGATAATTGCAATAGAATTTTGTCGAACCGAGCAAGACGAGAATGGTGAATGGACAGAGGACGAGGAACAAATTTGCCGATTAAAAGCAAATTTTATTATATGTGCATTTGGTTCAGGATTGCAAGATTTGAGTGGTAATAATTTAGCCTACATTAAAATTTTGTTTCCTTCACAAAGAAAAATGTTTTTAAAAAAATTGTATCGTTTAAGTGACGCAAGCTATGGCACCCATTAAAATGAATAAGTGGAACTTACCGGAAGTAGACATGGAAACCATGAGTACCTCTGTTCCCGGTGTCTTCTGCGGTGGAGATCTTGCTGGTGTTGCTCATACTACCGTTGAATCTGTAAATGATGGAAAAACAGCTGCTTGGTACATTCATAAATATATTCAGGTTATAATTTTAAAAATTTCATGAAATAATCATTTATTAGAGATATGTATTCAAGTAGTTTAAACAATTCTTTATTTACTACTCAATAGAATTCTTATAATTTGGAAGTACCCGAGGTTCCTCAGTTACCTAAATTTCACACTCCGATCGATGATGTTGATATATCTGTCGAAATGTGTGGTTTAAAATTTGAAAATCCTTTTGGACTCGCTTCTGCACCGCCGACCACCTGTAGTACCATGATTAGACGGGCTTTTGAGGCTGGATGGGCTTTTGTTGTTACAAAAACGTTTTCTTTGAATAAGGTAATTAAATCATTGTTAAATATTTTTCAAAAAAATTATTTGAAAAAACCAATATTTTAGGATCTTGTCACAAATGTGTCTCCACGAATAATTAAAGGCACAACTTCTCGTCATCATTACGGACCAGAACAAAGTAGTTTCTTGAATATTGAATTAATATCTGAAAAGTCAGAAGCTTATTGGTGTAACAGTATCACAGAGTTGAAAAATGATTTTCCGTCTAAGGTTTAAAAATATATTATAAAATATTATATTATATATTATTATAAAATTTTCAGATCATCTTCACAATAAAAATTTCAAATTTATTTTTAGATTATTATTGCTAGTATTATGTGTACATATAATAGAGAAGACTGGACAGAACTTGCTCAAAAAGCTGAAACAGCCGGTGCTGATGCGTTAGAATTAAATTTATCTTGCCCTCACGGAATGGGAGAATCTGGAATGGGTTTAGCTTGTGGCCAAGTATATACTCTAAATAATTTATTAATATTTTATTATTAACTACTATACAGACTCTCACACGTTAGGATCCTGAACTGGTAAGAAATATTTCAAGATGGGTTCGGAAAGCCGTAAAAATACCATTCTTTGTGAAATTAACGCCAAACATCACTGACATCGTTTCAATAGCTAAAGCAGCTTACCAAGGTATTCTTCATATATAAATAATTAAAATATTTGAGGAAATAATTTTTTATAATTACTTTTAGGATATGCTGATGGAGTATCTGCCATAAATACGGTTCAAAGTTTAATGGGATTACACGCAGATGCAACGCCATGGCCAGCCGTTGGCATTAAGAAAGCTACAACTTATGGGGGTATGTCAGGAAATGCAACTAGACCTCAAGCTTTAAGGGCAATTTCGAACATTTCGAAAACTCTTCCTGGATTTCCAATACTTGGAATTGGTGGTATTGATTCAGCGGATGTTGCTCTTCAATTTTTACATTGTGGCGCATCTCTTCTGCAGGTGAATCAGTCAGCCATTTTATTTTTATACAAATTTGTTATAATATTGCTTATATTGTATTATTTTTAAACGGTAAATAGGTTTGCAGCGCAGTACAGAATCAAGATTTTACTTTGATTGATGATTACACGATTGGTTTAAAAGCCTTACTATATTTGAAGAGTTTGGAACAAGTAAAAGATTGGGACGGACAGAGTCCACCAACATTTAAACATCAAAAAGGAAAACCAGTTGTATTACAACATGCTCTTGGCAAAGTAAATGCAATCTTTGGTTAAAGCTAATTGACTGAATGATACCAGAATGTACAGTGATTGTTTTATGTTTCAGAACATACCATATTTTGGAGAGTATCAAAAACTCCGAGAACAAAAAATGGCTGAGATTAAAGCTAACTCGAATCCGCTTGATAGAATTGTTGACATAACGAGACCTACTTTGAAACCTATTGGGCCTATACCAACTATAAAAGATGTTATTGGTAAAGCTTTAGATTATATTGGCACGTATAAGGACTTGAATAACAAAGAACAAGTGGTAGCATTGATAGATGACGTATGTTTCAATTGCTTTTTAATTATTTTAATGTTTGTTCTTTTTTATTAAGAGCAAGTAATTTTATGCATTAGGATATGTGCATAAACTGTGGGAAATGTTATATGGCTTGTGCTGATTCTGGTTATCAAGCAATTAAATTTGATTCTGATACTCACATTCCACTAGTGACAGATGATTGTACAGGTTGTACACTGTGTCTTTCAGTATGTCCTATTATTGACTGCATTACGTAAGTTAATTATTTATTAAAATAAAGCTTCATTTTAAATTATAACTATTTAATTTCTTTTTTCATTAATTATAACTATTTAATCTATTTTTCAGCATGGTTCCTAAAACAATACCTCATATTATTAAAAGAGGAATACCACCGAAAGGAGCGTTTCTTGAACATCTCGAACTATAAGAAGCACTTTATTAGATAATAATAATAATAATAATTTTTTTTTGTAATATATATCATATATTTTACTTTTTATTATATTTGACTATTAAAAAATTATTTTACTACAGCAATTAAGCAACTTACTACAAATTACTACATTGTTCAATTCATTGAAGATTATAAAAAATCTGGATTATCAAACCATTGCATTATTTGTGGCAGCGAAAAATTATAATTATACTTCTTACATTTTTTATTTATCAAATGATGCCTAAAATTTAATAATAATAAATATTATATAGAAAATATTTTACACAAGAAGTTGAATAAATTATAAAATATATTACTTTGCGTATTTTTGACAATTTACAATGGGATAATACTCCTTGAAGCATTGAGGTCTTAAAATATTAAAATACGTTGTTCCAATGTGTGTAGCTAAAATGTTATTAGCTTCTTTAAGACATCGGTAAAACGCATCATCACAGTTACATGATGATCTGTACGCAGAATATGTATTTTATTCCTTTTCGATTAATCGTAATTTACAGTATTAGTTACCTCGTGAATATACCATTGTTTAGAAGTCCTTCTCGTTCTTCTCCTGCTGAAATATTCTCCGAACAAAGATCGTGAGCTTTACAACAAGCATCTGTAGTTTCAAAAAAACCAAGATCTTCTTTATTTGGAGATATATCGCCATCACCACACCAGTATGTCCCTGTCCCCAAAATTTACATTATCAACCCATTTTTATTAAAAAATTTAATAGTATATACCTGGATATATTGCCTTAATTTTGTGTTTAAATGGGTTTAAAATATCACTAATTGTTGAGTTTTTTAATATATCTTGACTCTTGGTAAACACACCAGATGTTAACTTTTTTAGATTATTTTTAGTAGTCAAAATATTTTCCTGAATGCTCTTTTCAGAGTTTATTAGCATTCGTATTGACTTTTCTACCGAAGTGACATATGTTTTTTTTAATTCCGTTGAATCAGAATTAAGGAATTTGGCGGCAGCCAAACTAACTGCGATATATAATAGAAATATGCGAGTTATAGAAATCATATCTTTGCTCATAAAATACGATTAGAAAATGTGATGTAACAATTTTTTTAATGTCTTATGTGACGTTTTTACTACGTAAGTGTTTATCTTCATCAGTTATGTTAATGAATTAGCAATTCAATTTTGATTGAAAAAAAAAAACAGTTTTGTACGGAAATGAATTTAATATACAATAATTTTTAGGAAAATATCACCTGTTTTTTAATAAAAGATACTAGTAACAATTTATAAAATAATATTATCTGAATTGTCCTCACAAGTTTACGCGAATTATAATTAATAATAAAAGAAAAATATATAGATATATATATATATATCTATTTTAAAATTATATTTCTAACATTACTACTTAAAATAAATCCGAGATATTTTATATATTATAAAATATGAATCTTATGAATGTCTTTTAATTTTATTTTATAAAAAAGTTGCACAAGACCTGAAATCACAATAAGTGTGATATTTGGCATTTATGTTGTATCACTTAGTGATTCACTTGTGTTCAATCCATTTTCTTTAATACAATCATCTGTATCCGAAATTTGTTGATCTTGCAAGGCACGTCGCTTTTGAAGCCTTGCGCATCGTGGGCAGTAGTGATTTTGTTTTGACCAACATGCACGGTGATGAACAGCCGAACATTGATGACAAGTAATAGAACTTGCATCCCACGGGTATATAATTTCATCATTACCACACAATTCACACAAATGACCTCTGTACATTAAAATATTTAGTAGTTTAATTATAAAATGACTTAAATAAAGAATCTTTAATTATTGAAATTTACCTCGCCTTGCATAATTCGCACTGTTCGGTAATGTGAGTTTGCATAATATCATATGCAGTACGAATTTCTTCTAAGAGGATTCCGTTATTAAGATCAACAAGATCTTTAATTGAATAATTTCCCGAATTTTCTATCATATGAGTACGTATTCCAATTTTCCATGGTAATCCTTGTTTATTAGCTTCCGTACACAAAACCAAATAATGTTTCATCATTTGCATTTCGCCCCGCATCCTCTGTTTATTATTTATTTTGAATTCATAAAACTCTTCACTTCTTTGATATAAAAGTATATTTATTTATTTTACCTTTACTACAGAGAGATCTGGAACTAAAGTGAACAATTTTGGATTTAACTCTTCGAGTAATAAAACAGAACGTTTTTCTAAAAGTGTTAGCAATTGTGCAGCAGCACGGGATACGAGCCTTGGTTCCATATCCCAATTTCTAATTACTCTTGCAGGAATTACCATTACAGTGTTCCAATGACATCTTTGACAATAATACAATCCACTATAATCGCAAAGGCGTGGCTCAATCCATACTGACTCTATATTTATAAATAACTTATTAAAAGTATCATGTATATATTAACTTATTATGTACATTGACGCATAAAAATAATTTTTTTATTTGTAATCCATGGTTTCAAAAATTTCCTATTAATATTTTACCTGTATTCCTAAATGGATTACCAAAGCAAGATAAGGATAATCCTTTTGAGAAAGCTTGTAATAAAAATTGGTTTATCTACATTGTAGTAATATAGAATTAGTGATATACAAAAAAAAATAAATTACTCTTTTTTACTTACTGAATGTTATTCGAACTTTGCATTCAGCACATCTATATCCTTGATTTGATAAACCCTTTTCAGGACAAATATCTTTTGTATATGTATAACCACCTGCTTCACTAGCAACCACATGAACACATACTCTACATATATTATTTAAACATTTCCAGTGACAACAAAATTTGCAATCTATAACAACAAAAATTGTAGATCATGAGTATTCACATGTAAGAACAATAATTTTTAATTTTAATGGATCTTACCACTACACATATACCATGATTGGAGCATAGTCCAAATAGCTCCACTACAATGATCACAATATGCAGGCCCAGAAGTGGTTATGTAATATTTTTGTGGTACTAAATGATGGCCTAAAATGACTTGCGTTTCTAGCAAATTTTCTTCTGATGTTTCTCTTAATTCTTGTACTCTTAAACGTAATTCTATTAAACGTCTAACAAGCCATTTTCGCTCATCTGAACATTCTGCACTTTCTAACACCATTTGTTTGCACTTTTCTATCATATCTTTCAAATATTCTTCAGAAGTAGCCTAAAAATGAGTTAAGTGAAATAAAGAATTATTACAATATCTATTGTATTTATATAAATTATTTTATACCTTGGATAATGAAAGTGTAGTTTCCACTGATTTTAAACTAAATGGTATAGCAGCTTTACTGTCTGAACTATCATCTCCTGTCAAATAATCTGACGATGAAGAAGGTGTTGATGGCACAGTATCAAAACTGTTAGTTCTGATTTTTGATTCTTCATTACAATCATATGTTTCATTTGTATTATTTTTTATATCCACCATTTTTCTCAGAGAATTATGAACTAAGAAGAATATAAGAATATTCTTAATAGTTGTTTCTGTTGTTTGTTATGAACTGTGTCATTAATTTAATTATTAAACTTGGTTATGGTCAAAGTATCCATTTATTTCTGATTATTTTAAATATGTTTGCAAAAATAATGCAAATTATTTGATTTAATAATAATTTAGAAATATATTACAATAGATATATGTCTATTTAAAACCATCAAATGTTAAATGAAATTATGTTATAGACAGTGTTTATTTCAAATGTTCTTTTATATAAATTTCTAAACGCGTTAAATCATAAACACTTTTATATGTAATTTTTTGTATTGTGCTGACACAATATTACTACATTTTGATATATAACTTACATACAAGCATGTCAGATTTGCAAACTGTTGTATCAGTCAACATAAAGGTTATATGAAAATAAATGCTAAAAGCATTGACTAACTAGCAGTCAATGGTACTACTCAATCGTTATCGGTAATGGTTGGCAGTGTCAATCATATGTTTTGCACAAACAAAATTTTTATACGAGAAATGGTTGTGAAAAATATGATCAATAAATATTAAATATAATTATACGAAGAATAAAAGACTTAAAGACTAGGCGTAAGTATAATAATAGGTCAATGTTTAATAAACAATTAAGAGAATTAAATTAAATTAAATTAAATTGGATTTCCTTTTCTAAAGTTCGCGCCGATTCAATCCGTTAACTTTATCTCAATATAATGAAAGATGATAAATAATAATAATAATAATAATAAACGTAATTCGATCTGTTTTATCCCCGTACATGATTTCATTTTCAATCGAAAGACAATCGATTACGTCGATAAGAACAAAATTTGCGTTATAATATCTTATATCACATTTTATTTCATGAAAATTTATCAATAAATTAAAAGTTCGTAATGTACTTGATGCGTGTACTCACTATAAAGCTACCGTACTTGATGCAATCACACGACGTAGAATAAACGTGACACATCACTGTCTCACAGAACATAAAAATCTCACAACATGACAATTAACAAGTACAACAATTTGCTCTTGACTCTGAAGCTGAAAATTTGCACTGAAGAGTTTCGCGCGTTTCATTGCGAAGTACTGAATTCAAACATGGTCAATCGGTCGATAGATGGCGCGAGCGGACTGCGATTTTTAAATCGATTTGCGGCTCGTCTGATTTCGGCGCGAAATTACGAAAAAAAGTTGTTCGGTTTTTCCGTTACAGAGAAGGACAGATATCGTCGCTTGGCGAAAGAGCAACTGCGAGAGCGAAACAGTCTGTAGGGCAAGAAGGAAATCGAGGCCCCGAATCTAAATAAATCGATCAGTAAATAGATCGAGCCTGCTTCCTACTGTTTTACGATTGGATAACAAGGGGACGGGAGGCTGAGGAGAGAAGAGTATTTGTGGAGTTCGACTACGGTAGCTACGATCGCCTTCTGGCAAACATTATCGTGACATCGTTTTGTGCGTGTTGAAGAGTTTGGCCAGGCTCGTTCGATCGGTCCTTTCGTCGTATCGACCGGCTTGCTTGATGGCCGCACGCTCCATGAACCTGGTGAAACAGTAATTTTCCTCGGTGTGCATTTATCGTGCATCGTGACGACAACAATCCTACGGCGATTTCTCTTACAACTTACTGGCAAGTGAATCATGAATCATTGAGTAAATTCTCGCATTGGCTAAACTATATTCGTTTCGGCCGACGCGCGGCCACTTCCGTGTACATACTACGAATTCCTCTCGGTTGCCGCCGCATTCCAAACTCTTTTCCTTTTTTTTTTTTTTTTTTTTTCTAAGTTTTGCGTATCTTTCAATCGCCAAAAAGCACAGCGCTTCGAGAAAGCAAATTTATCACAAATTGTCGTCGATATTCGGAAATCGATCCGGGATACCATAGCGGTGCTGCAGGCGTTAAAAATATCGGTCTTTTGTTTCCTGTCACTTTTTTTACATCAGCGTTACGTAACGGAAATGAAGTTTAGAAAAAAACTTACATGCCTCGTATTCAGTCTATATAAATCATTACGTGTTTTGTTCACTGTAGCATTGTTTTTCGTGGTTGGCTAGTTTGAGAATGTCAATGTCAATGTGATATTAATCCAAAAAATTACTTCATATTTACTTTAAAATTATTTTAGATTTACTATTGCGAGCTGATAATAGTTGCAAATTTGTAACCGTAAGTTATCCTTCTTCGAGACCCTTTGAAATTTCAATTTCGTACAACATTTAGTGTTTAGTCTATGAAAAAATTCAGATTCATACTACTTCAATTTCATTTTTTTCTTTTTATATTATATAATCGATTGAATCGACACGGAAATCGATTTTGAGACTAATTTCTTCGAAGTCCAGTGACATATCGCAAGTATTCTACGTGTCGTTGTGATGGCGGAAACATGAATTTCAGATGTAGAACGATATGGCTGTCAGCATAAAATTCACGAAATTCGACAACACACCATGGGGATTTCGATTGGCAGGTGGAAGCGATTTTCCACAGCCATTGACTGTCATCAGAGTACGTACTTTCTCTTTATTCATCGTACGTTATCCTCCTACTATTTAAATATATTGCCGTGAATGCATGTACATAAATAAAAAATAAATTGCAAATCATCGAGAGAGCTCACGAATTAATTGCTAGATATGGTTCATTAAACATTAGTATAACCGAATGCACGAGTGTAGAATGGGTTGCATATCTGCAGGAGTACGGTCTCAGAAATATCGGTAAGGTAGAATAATGTAGAAATTCCTACATTATCGATTCTATCGAATTGCAAGTGAAAATGTAATTGCAAATGCAATTGCATTTACCGTATACAGAAACACGTTTAATAATTATGATTCTTATCTTATAAAATTTCAATATATATATATATTTTTTTTTTCATATATTTTGAGTAAAAAATAAATTGACTGAAAATGGAAATCGATTTAAGATCATTTCTTAGGTGACAGAGGGAAGCCTGGCAGAATGCATGGGTTTAAAGGTCGGCGATGTGGTCGTGAGATTAAATGATCAACCCATCAGTAACTTGACACACGGTCAGGCACACGAAGAGCTAATGCGAGCAGGAAATAATTTTGTTCTGGGTGTAAAGAGGTAAATACTTAAATTTAAGGCCGGAATAAGGGAACTGTATCTCCTCGAGGGGAGTGCTCTTATTCTTCTATTTCTATCGGAAGTAGATCTGCGAGCTAGCTATGAAAACAATTCGACATCAATGTCAACGACACGCTGAATTGACCCGCTTGGAGGGCAAGCTTAACTTGAACTACTTTTAACTGCAACTTTATTTCGAGTATCGCATGATTCATGACAGGCATCCTTCGATAGATGCTGCTGGAATTTGCATTTCGTGGCACTTTATCAGCTGAATATTGTCGGTAATATTTGAACAAAGAAGAAAAGAGGAAAAAAAAATAAGAAAAAATTGAGAAAAATGACTGAAATATCGAGATGTTACTGTACGCTTCGTGTGCATTATTATAACACGTCGCGGCTAGAATATCCCGGCGTACGGGCAACGTGTGGTAACGAATTGCAACACTTATAAATAGGTGACCCAGAATGAAATCTGTTTATCATTGGTTGGCGATTTTATTGCTGGCATTTACACCGCACACCATTTGTTCCACGATCTCTCATTACCCTTTTGCGCGTGAACCGGCTCGCACTAAGCTTCGAAAAGCAGTTAAATTCGTTCTTCGTTCCAATTCCATTCACCTAGAAGATCGTTGCTCGCCGAACAGTGTACTGACCACCGTGTGAGGTCGATCGAAAAAATTTCAGTTCGAAACACCGTTAATTAAGCGATTAATTACGCGACTGTGTTACACAGAGAAGAAGATCCACTGAAGGCTTTGGAGGCGCTGTCCGAAGAGAATATCGTTCCCTACAAGATTCCGGTACGCATTCTCTCGCAAGTCAGCTAATAATTTTAGCGTTGCCCGGAGACATGAATTTTTCTATTCATTCGTGTCAGGATCTGTATAAGAACGTTTGTCAGCTCGCAGATTTGCCACCTGTCTACCCGGAGCAAATACTGCAAGAGGAAACGACGGTGATCGAGCGGCACGAGGAAACGACGTGCGATGTAAAGTCGGCCGAAGAGGAGGTGAAGCCAGAAGTGGAACCGCTCCCGGACAAGCCCAAGGACGCCAACAGCGAGATCGTGCCGAATCAGAATCTTACGGACGACGAGATTGCGCAATTGATCCTCGAAGAAGAGGAACTCTTGTCCGACAAAGGCCTTCTGGGGTATTCACATTTGGTTACTCTATGTTGTATATTTCCCTTCATCTTACGATCAGAACTTTCCTTCATAGTCACAGTACACGCGTTTCAGAGTGAACTTCAAGAAACTCAGGCCCCGTGTCACTGTTCTGAAACAATCGAAGGTGGTCGAAGAGCTGCAGAACATCGCCACAGCTGAACCGCCTCTGGTCGAACAGTTGAGACGTACCTCGGTGTTTCTGCAAAAACCGCAGAGACCGGTGCCGGAGCCCCGTAAGAAACAGGAGGAACAACAACAGGAGACAGAAGTCGAGTCGTACAGAGTCGTGATAAAGAAACAAAAAAAGAGGAGCGTGACCGACCGACTGCTAGCAAAGGGTCTGCTGAAACCTGAGGGCGCTAGTACCCCGGAACCGCTCACTCCCGAGGTAAACATGGAAAATATCGAAACGGAGATGAAATTCGAGGAAAGCGATTCGTCGATCGTTTCGTCAATGCCGCTCGATGATAGTTTATGCTCGGAACAAGCACTCGAACCAACCGGCATTACATGTCCCGTGGTGTCCTCTTCATGTCTCGAACCTCCGATCGAGATTCGCCAGAGTCAGACTTCGCTCGATGCCGAGCCTGAAACTTGCACGAACTCGGGATCGAATGTTGCAACGGTACAGTTGCCGAGACACAGAGAGAGTGTAGCGTTGGCGCCTCGTGCGCCGAACAAACGCAAGTTCAAGATCTTCTATACAAGGGGTCATTACCTCCGAAAGTGTTTGTTCGGGAGGAGAATCTACGACGACATTAACAAAGCGATTAAAGTAAAACTTCCTTCGTTCAGGGAACGATTCCAGGAAAGCGGCACGGAGCAGTTTCAACAATTTCCACGCCGCTGTAGCGTCGAGAAATCTTCCAAGTCCAGGATCAAAGGTCGTTACCTCGAGACGTACTTGAAACGGGAAGATAATTGGATCAGGCGGATGATCGGATTGTTCGATAGCTTTTCCACGAGCAAGTTGTACGACCGTCTGTCATCGAACAGAGAGATCTCATTGAGGAAAGCTCGTTACGCGGAGAAAATAGTCGTTCGAAGCGTGGAATTCGTTGCGGTCCGCTTTCGTTCCGATATCGCGAATTCTATGAAATCCAAGTCGCGAATTGACAAGCGTTTGTACTTCAAGGGTCATTACATCCGGCGCGTTCTTCGGCGTAATCTTACTCGCTTGATCAACTGTATCAAAGACGTGGTATCCTCGAGAGACGTTCGCGAGAAAGGCAGGAGGAGAGGCTCGGCAATGATCAAGACGAAGGGTCGTTATTTAGAGACGTATCTGTTGAGAAACGCGCTCTTAGATTTGCAGGATCTTCGCGACCGTTTCTCGGCACGCTCGAGCGTTTCCTCGTCGAGGAAGAAACTTTTCGCTCGGACTCGTTACGTCGAGCGTGTCTTTAAAAAGCACTTCGAGACACTCGGTTTAATCATAAACTACATTCGTTGCCAGCTTCTTCGAGGTATCGCCGATTCTTCCGTCGTTATTCCAGGCTGCTCGTCCTTGAACTCGCGCCAAACCGGCGCGTCTGTATCGCCCACGAAGGAGGACGATGTCTTCTTCAATTTGATCCGTTCCTCCAAAGACTTCATCTCGACCGAGGTTTTTCATCGTGGCAGTAGACGGCTCTCAAGATCATCCAGAGGTAGCATCTCTGCCGGTGCTTCGAACCTCACCAATACGTTGGCAACCAGTCTCTTCAATTGGCTTCCTATGAAATTTGTCAGAGAATCGGCTGACCAAGCGATTAACGACAAAAAGGCGATGCAGGACAACGATCGTGACTACGGTCGTAGGCTATCTTTCGTGCCGACCATTCTTTACGAAGGTCTAACGAATCGCATAGGCGTCGATTTCACTAGATTAGTAGCGTACGCGTTCGTACCTTGTACCTCGATCATTTTGTTGTATATGTACAAGTAGTAATAATATTCGTGTCAACAGCAAAGTCCAACACGACGTTTACTTAAATATGTTCGCTCGTGACGGCACTACTAATGATTACGTTTAGATTTATTATGTTTAGATTTAAAACGACATCACTTGTTCTAGGACATCCTAACAGACGCTAGATCATCATGGGCCATCTGTAAACGTATAAAAAAAGAAAGAAAAAAAAAAAAAAAAACATGAAAAAAAGTGTTCATCGTTCGTAGAGTGTGTGTTGTATCATTCTGTCCAATGTAACCATTTTTCTCATAACTATAGAGGTAGCAATAGTTGTACTTGTTCTCGGGGCCGTGCAGCCAGTGAACGACATTAATTAATTGAAAAGAAAAACAAAAGAAAAAAAGGAAAAAAAAAAGCACGAACTAATCTTTCACGACAAAAGTGACAGTCTGTCTCTTAAACGTTACTACATGTTCTACTTAACCACTTGACTAAAAACAGCAACGTATGTTCAAGATAACAGCGAAAAATGTACGGCCCTGCAAGTATGTGTAACGTAATATATATTTGAAAAAAAAAAGAGTTACAAAATGATCGCACTCGCACGTCGATTCATTGGTATCTAGTCTAACGAATGTAGAGTATAGAAACAAGAACTTCTGGAATCTCGCGTTATCATGCACGCGCAGATCGATGCATGTAGTATAATTAATGTCAAAATGTACTCACGATGGATTGTCGAGAAAATAGTACATTCGAAATAAAATGCGTATACATACATACATACATATATATATATAGATATGGATGCCACCCAAAATGCTAAAATTCTCGATAACCCTTAACGTCGAAATGATATTGGGACGATCCCCAAAATCCCATCTGTTTTTCCGGAAACGGAACGAGTACTAATTCATCGTATCGAACGTAAGGTACTCGTAACGATGACGAACGATTGGAAGTGCATACGCAACTGATCCTTAAGTGGACCATTGGTACCGTCGCAATCCCATCTAATTTTAAATTAATATGCATCATACGCTGTGTATTTGAATTCGTTTGCGTAATCCTTTGTCATCTCGTTTCCAATGTTGCAAAGCGACAATTTATTTCTATTCGTACATCGATTCGAATGTAAATCAAGCTCCAGCTATTGTAAACTAAAATTGAATTATGCCCACTTAAGGATTTGAAAAGATGACCCGTCCGGCGTGTTGAGTGAGATGAAATGTAAATTAAAGCGACGCAGATGGAAAAACCGACGTTCCGTATGCATTTCAGTCCCACGTCTCTGTGCACGACAGACTAGACGAACCGTTCACCGTTCACCACCCACGAATCCCGTGTTTTGTAGCCTGTTGTCTGAATTTAGGCGACACCATCGGCGACACCGGAGCCAGGCGGCTGTCGATCGGATCAGGAACGCGAGCCAGAGTCGCGTCCCGAATCGAAAGCCGAGTCGAAGCAGGGGGAGAGCGAAACCGAGCAACAACAACCGGAAGGAACAACACCGTGCAAGGAGGAGAGCCACGGTGAGGAGACGGACAGTCAGGAGCAAACGGCACAGGAGTCTATTTTGAACGAGATCGAGAAAGAGATGGCGAACGTCGCGGCGGCAGTCGACAAAGAGAAGATCAAAGAGCTGGTCAGCACGGAGATGAACCTGGAGAAACAGCTGGAGAACGTTCAACGACAGTTGCTGGCGTTGAAGCAGCTACCGAGCGAGATCGAGAGTCACCTGAGAATCGTGTCGGAGCAACTGCAGAAGATCATGGAGCTGAGCGGTGTGCAAAACGGCGCCACCGGCAACGACGAGAGGCAGCAAGGTGTGCTCGCTCGCTAAGATTACACATTTTCAAAGCGGACGAACCTCGATCGGTATCTCGTGCCAGCCTACGCGCATGCATATTTCCAAATTTCATGCGTTCGGGACTTTTGAAGCGGTGCCAACGCGTCGACCGCGTCCGGTCGAGCCTCGCGACGCGACGTTCCGTTGCGAAACGAGCCAGATTCTGCCTTCGATTCGATCTGCTCTGGCCATTTCTCTCGTGAAATCCGCCGCGGCGTTTTTTTTTTTTTTTTTATCATTCTACAGCAACTGCGTGACGCAACTTTTCTGATCTTTCAGAGGCAGAGGTCGAGGCAGAAGAGGCAGAAGAGACGGAAGAGACGGAGACGCAGGAACTGGAAGAAACGGAGGAACAGGATGTGACGGAATACACGGAGGACATCTCGTACTCGGCTTATTCGGAAGAGCATCGGATCGTCCAAGCCAGCGAGGAAGAAGACGAGGAAGAGACCGAGACGCAGGAACTGGAAGGTACCTTGTCCGTGAAGAGCGAGGAGGGTAGCAGAGTAAAGAAATTCGTCGTCTCGTACGAGACGAAGGTTTTGAAATCGCCAAGCCCCGCGCCATCCCATGGTAAATATCTAGCGAACATTTTTTCATTACTTTCTGATATTAAAAAACGATCGTCACAAAGGAGTAACATCGTGAAAGAAAGATAACGGAAACGAAGCGATATGTGTATTATAGGCAGTTTCGAACCAGATCCAAATCTATCGGCAAAAGATCAAGTTATTCAGGAGTTGCAGGTATTCTAGAGACTGATACGGAATGTATAAAGTTGTATGTGCAGTAACTGTTGTTTTTACATCTCTGTCATCCAGTTTTTACACTCTTCCAGAATCCTAAAACCTGTACTTTATCTTAATCACGTCGATGTACTCGTCTCCGAGACTCTTCATCGTTCTTCAACCACCAAAACATGTGCTCCGTTTCCCTTTTTTTTTTTTTTTTTAAATTATCCCGAGAACAACACGAACCAAAGGTTTAGTAATCCGTGACTTTCGAAACACCAACGTGTCTCTCTAATTGCATCCTTAAATCTTCGCGGAGATGGAAATCATCCGTGTCATGTCACATTCCACTAAACGTTCGTACGGGAAGCACGCAGATTCCTCCGTAACCCCCCGTGTCAAAAGCATTCCTGAATCGTGATGAAGTATTGATTCAAACGACCGCGCGGAGCGTGAAGTAACGCTTTCCCATACGTTTGCAGCAGAGAGTAAAGCAACGCGCAGAGAGGAAACGTTCGCAAGATCTCTGGCCCCAGGCTAAACAGGTCGAACTTACGCTCGGACGCAGATGGAGGTGTCCGAATGATTTCTTCAATGACGAAATGATCGCCGAGGTTTTATCTTCCCAGGCGGAAGTAATCCGAGGCAGAGCCCTGGGGTAAGCTTGATTCCTCATCGATCTTTTGCGAATCTGCGAATTTTTACAGCAATGATTTAATAACGCAGTTGCGACCGCTTGCGTGTGTGTGTGTGTGTGTGTTTGAAAGTAGCCTCTTCTTTTCGAGAGGTACAGATTAACGTGATCGATTAACCGGGACGAGCCTGTTACTAATGCTTGCGATTTGCGAACGCAGGGTAAACTTCAAGAAGTACGAGAAGACGAATCTACCGAACTACGATCACTTGATGAACTCGAGTGTCTACAAGATGATTCATAAGATGGATCGAGAGCCGACGCGAGGAATTCCAGCTAGGCCTGCCAAAGTGAACGCCGCGGAGGACATAATCGAAAGGGCTGTAGGTATCCGGTTAGGATTTGAAAGATCCCTCAGGTCCTTACACCTTACTTGCGCTGGCAACTGATTGCGGACCATAACGAGTGACCAAACCGTATACAATAATTCGTCGCTTTCACTTTGAACTCGTCGGTATGATATCACTGGATTGGAAATTATTGAGAGGTAGTAGGTTTATCATTTGTTTTGCGTGAGTTATACTTAAAATATACTTAAAACTAAATCTTCAGAGAAGATGTTGCAATTTTGGGACAAAAAGTTTCTCGACGTGCGTATCGCGTCAATTCAGCGCAAGAGGCTTAAAAAAAACGAAGAAAAAGAGAAACACTCGAGAATGGATCTGAACGCGCTGCTGCGTTTCTTTCATTTCAGAAATCTCCAGCGTTGAGCATCCCGGATGACAGGAGCACTCGAAGCGTCAGTCACTGAACACGCGAGACATGGACGAAAAGAAGAATAGAATTCTTCCTTGCGGTCGGATACAACTCGTCGATACGTATGACCGAATGATACTTAAGATGAAAAAAGAAAAGAAGAAAAAAAAAGAGCAAAACGAATATAAATACGTGCGCTGCGATCGAGAAATATCAAATATAAAACGTAAAGCTTAATTGTTAAGTATGTGTGCGTGTCGTATATACGTGTTACGCGGATTAAGCGTTAATAAAAGGATTGATTCTTTTTCGTAAAACGATTATTTCAACGATACCATCCATCGTGTCAGTTGAAACTATTGGAAACACGAAGACGAATTGTCTGTCCCATTATCGTTCTCTTTCTTCCATGAATCAGTGTCCCTTCTATTGAAATATAAAGTGGGTTATGGATTACGAACGATCAGCCACGTCACGAGAGAAATTCGTAGAATCATACAAGAAACCAGAAGCAGAAGTGTCATCGAGGCTGTGATCGCCTCGTCATCATTACCTGTGGTAATTCGAATGATTGGCTTGCGCTTCTCATGGCAAGATCCTTTCGCGCAATGGGATATCCGAGAACGAGCCGGATTCGTTTGATTCGCGGATGAGTCGCGCATACTTTCACCTATCCGGTGTTTCCGACTCTGTTCCAAACCATGTCCCCGCATGCGTACGAGAGGCTGAGTCACTTCTGCTGTGGCCAACGAACGTTCTTTCTCCACCGTCTTTCTCTGTCCTGCTCAGTCTCATGCCTAGGGTCCGAGAACGTGACGTCGGTCCCGAGCAATTTATGTAAAGCATTCTAGGCATGATTCACAAACTAGTTCGCGCCCTCGTGACCGCCACCGGCGCAGAAAATGCAGCCACTCTCGACACAACACGAAAATCCAGGCTCGTCCGGCCGCCCAGACGAATGCATTTCAAATTTTGCCACGCGCTATCACCTTCAGTCACGATCGTCAGATAACTGATTTCTCAGCTGACAGTCAGCCCTCTGTGACTATATGTCTGCCATATTTACGGGCAACATCAGTTTCATTGTACTCCATTCAAAGGATATCTTTTCTCTCTATCAGTGGATAACTATGAAACGTTATCTATGAAACTACATAACAATTGAATAATTGATAGGAAAAATTAATAAGGCTAGATAAGAGTCGATGCAGATCACCCTTATCTTTTAATACTCCTCAGTCTTGCAACAATAAAAAGACTGTACATCGAAGTATTGAAAAAAAAAAAAAAAAGAAAAAAGGTAGAAAAAGGCAGACGAATCGTTTTGCTTTAATTTCGAATTCTTATTGCATCGTAGTTTTCAAACGACAATTAACACAAGTTTCATTTGATATTGCTCACAGGGAGAAAACTGCACGCGTGTGATCGCCAGTGCAGGCTAATCGGCTGGATCGTTGTTCGAGGTACAATCGCGAATAAATTATCGCGGAGAGAAGTGCATGGGCGGACAGTGTGGCAAGCAAGGTGCTTCTCTTCATGGTCGAAGCACTGGGAGCAATGACAGAAGGTGGAGCGGTAGGAATCGGCACCGCGGGAGAAAGAAAGATACAACGGAGGGAAAAAGAAGATACGAGACGTCGGGAATGCCATCCTGATACCACTACATACTACCACCACGTGTCCTTCTTTATCCTCTTCTACTTCTCGTCGCTTCTCGTCCCTTATTTCTTTCCTCGTTTTATTCCCCCCCCCCCTCTCTCTCTCTTTCTCTCTCTTGATATTTCGATTCTAACTCATTCATTCCATCGTTCTCATCCTTTCCCCCCTCTTTCATCTTTATAAGCACACTCACTCTTCTTTACATAAAGTAAACTCCTCCTCGTTTCGTGAAAGAAACCATTTCCGTATCTCCTTCCATTCTGCCGACTTCGCTATCAACCCCTGTTTCCGGTTCTGCCGACGCTCTTCGCATCGCGATTCCGCGAACCCCGCTTATCAATCCTCACCGTAACCATCTCTATTCTTATACAGATCCATCCACTTGAACGGCGTAGTAAAAACGACGATGATTTTCTATAGATGCATCTCGCTCAAGGCTGTGTTGTATGCATTTCGTCTTCGCGTCGAACGTTCCCGGTTCACCGGTTTAATTCAAAATCGTCGACGATCCCTGGCCGTCTATCGCGTCGCCTGCCCCTCCTCTGCGCGTGCTCAATGGCCGCGATACACACTCGAAGCAGATAAATCTCGCCTTGTGGTTTCCTTCGTTTTCGCGTGGAAAATCTACGGTCTGCTCCCCCTCCTCTCCTCTTCCTCTTCCTCTTTGTCGCGCTTTCCATTCCACCCCCTCCCCCGGATAATTCTGGATCGCGGTCTCGTTCCTACCCGCGTGTTAGGTCTCTATCCCTATCCCCGCCCCTGCGGCCAGAACCGCGGCAGAGCCGAATCGGATGGAAGGAAGGCAGCCAGGCAGGCCCCGCTGCCCGACTGACCGTCCTCGACGTCTGTTACACGTTGTACCTTTACTCCGGTCTGCGCGTTCTTCAGGAACGTACGTGCCGTTTCTCCCAACCGCGCGATCCCTTGCCTCGCAAAGGCAGCCGTCAACTGTGACCGGTGCAACGTGCATACTCTTGTCTTCAGTTTCGAATTCGTAGTTAGCGACTAACAATAAGATATAGAGACCGACGCGTATCCAGCTAACTTTTGTTTCTTACTTCTTGCTTGCTCGCTCGTTCGCCGTCCACCAGAGGATTCAGTTCCAATTTTCTTCTTTTTTTTTTCTCTTTTCACCAACTGCGTTAAAAGAGATATCAGTGATATGGCCCAGCTGATTAACGTCAAGCTCTCGAGGTTCGATGGATCTCCCTGGGGCTTCCGTCTTCAGGGGGGCAAGGATTTTGGCACCCCGCTCGTCGTACAAAAGGTGAGCTGATGCTATTTTTTTTTTTTTTGTTTATCTTCCTTGTTTTCTTTGTTTATTAGCTTAGTTTATTTAGCTATTGACGTGACTATTTCGAGATCGGATGGAGCGCTAGGTAAACGCAAAATGCGACGAATTAGAAGTTAGAGACTTTCAGCTCTAAATGTGTCTACTATCAAACTCTTGGCTATCTATCGATCTCCTCGTTTTCGAAAAATTCGCTGGTTTTACATTGTTATTATCAGACCGCTCCGATAAAGAGATTAAGAAAAATTTAAAACTTGCCGCGTCAATGACTCTTGTCATCATCAACACGTACCTTCGAATGAAATGATCATCGAAAGTGTTCTACGAATTCACGATCTGCAAATACGTTGAGATAATTCCTGCATAGTAAGAAACAGTAAAACATTCGTATCAACGACGAAATTCAATGAAATTGGTTTTAACGAAACATCGTAACTGATCACTGTGACGTTTATTAGCGAATGACGAACTATCGGTAACAATCGGGTAATACCGAGGATCGTTTCATTCCTTCGACGCATTCGACGATTATGAAAACTGGCTTTTTCGCCATAATGGAACTGCGAGTGGACGTTACGTAACGTGGGCTAGCAAACGCCAAATTATTTCACGCGCATCGGTAGAAATCGCTGCCAACTACGTGCGAAACGCGCGGACCGTCGTCGGGTATCGTCGTGTTTTGGCGACGAGGCACGCTGTAACACGAGAAGCTTTTGGCCGCTATCGCCATTCACTTTCGCGTGAATTCTCCACTTTCTTTCGTTCATTTCGACGGCTCGATCGGATAAATTTCATTAAGGTGGCGAAATACCACCACATGCCGGATGTTAGGTCGATCAGCGCCGCGTATGTCGCGCAAATCTTCGAACAGCCAGTAGCGTTTTCGTTATTATGTTTATTATCGTTGTGCAAGAGAATGGCGCGATGTATTTTAAGAGCAACCTGTAAAGGTTGTTCCACCGGCCGATCGTGAAACAATATTTCAATTGGCTGGCTGGCACTTGTCAACAGAGGAGGTGGCGTGTGATGTACGATTTTGAGGAAAACTCGTCTCGAAACGGCGCGTTTCGCGAAAAAACGATGTTCGGGAACCGCGAGCGAGACCTTTGGTTTTTCGCCCGTTTCGAAGCGTGTCCGACGCTGTTTTATCTCGCGATCGACGTTTCGAACTTGGCCTTCTTAGCAGCACGTGCTCCGTTTATTTTACGAGGCCGCAAATACATACGACGTCCGGCCGCCCTCGAGTTTCTCGGAAAAGGAGAGAAATACGAGTCTAAGGCGGTGTCAAACGGCTCCCACCCGGCGGGAATTACAAATTAATCGCGAGTAATTGCTTCAACGATGCTCACCGTTTCATCGTGGCTGGTTATCGCCACTGGATTTATAGATCCTGCTGTCGTGTTAATCGGTTGGAGAAGCGATACCTAGCGACTCTTCTAGATCGTAAATTTCGAAGACGAAACTCGAGCGATCGCTCTGTTATTTACCTATCCCAACCGGTCACTTGGCGCACAGATCTATTTAAAGGTTATCACGGGGAGTTCCATCGGACGAGCACGTAAGATTCTCTAGATGTCTGGCATACCGTTGCTTTTTTATCGCGCGCGAACACGTTTGAAGAATCGACGAACAGCAAAATATTTGGAGGCTCTGATGGCGGAGAAACGCACGATCGAGCCGAACGTGCGTTCGGAGAAATAATCGGGGCGGGAACGTTTTTAGAAAAATCGATGCAGTTCGAAAAGAGAGGAAAAAGGAAGGAGAGAAAAGAAGAAAGAGAGAGAGAGAGAGAGAGAGAGAGAGAGAGAAGCAGCGACGCGTCGCTGGTAATCCGAGGCAAATTATTTGGGCGTTCTATTTCTAGAAGGTGCCTTTGCGAAACGCGCAAGCCGGGTCGAGCCCCGCTCGCGAAGACAACGACGAAGACGAAGGCAACGACGACGACAATGTCGTCGACAATGCTTCGTGCTTCCTGGACCGCGCGTTGGTCACCGTGGAAAATAAATTTTCCTGTCGATCGATTAAAAATACCGATCGTCGACGCAATCCTCGCGAAGCGGGCCGAGAAAAGTCACTACGAGCCCTTATCGACGAGCCACGGTTACATGAAATTCGAAACGTGCTCGCACGCGTAATCTTTGTAATCTTTTCACTCCGACGAACGACAGAACCATGTCTCCGACCAAGTTGAGGAGCAAGCTCCGACCGACATACAAGTTAAAAAAACGATAGATCGTACGTATAGAAGATTTGGCACGATCTTGGAACAGTGAATAATCGTACGGGATAGAATTCTCGTTCTCGTAATCTGCAGCGAGCAGCTGCGCGCATTTGCGCGCGGGTTTCCGTGATTCCGTGCAGTCGGTGCAACGTGGGCGCGTTGTTACGCGATGATTTCGTTGGCAAACGACGCGTACGCGAGCCGCGTTATCGTACCCGATGGAAGGACTCGACATAAATTTCGCGTGTCGTTAGCCGATTGTATACCATCGCGCCCGTTCTTTTTCTATTGCGCCGCCGTGACAGCCTTGATGTCTAATTGCCAAAATAACGCACTACGTAGACAAAGGATAGATACTTCTTATCGTTCGTTCGGTGGCAGTTGTCCTACGACAAATGTCTTATTAAAATAATTAAATAATTATTAATATTGAAATAATCTAGAAATTTAGATCTTTCGCTCTTGTATCCGTCAGTAATCTAAGGCTGAAAGTCATCTTCATCGTCATCACCGGTTTTATACGAAGGGAAAATCTACTTTTAACGAGGATAATCACGTGTCTTTTTCGAGGAACGATTCGGCGATAATTCTTCAAGGCTATGGCAATACCAGTAGATTCGATAGAAACGATAACATAATTATGACGGTCGTTAAATACTCGTTTGATTAATTTTTGACGAGTTCTTTGGCATCTTCAAAAATGAAGAGTACGACGATAATATCGCGCAATGATTGACGTTAACAGGTAGCCCAGGCACGTACGAAAATATCCTGCCTGTCCAAAGGAGAGAGTACCTTCCGACAAAGGTTAACACACGAATGTGGCAATAGCTGGGATTTTGCCAGCCGCGTGGGAGGAGAACGATCCGCAGAATTCGCCCTTCCCTTCCCCCCGTTTGAAAAATGAAGCATCGCGGCGCGTGAAACGAAATTTGCGAGGCAAATTACGAAGCTTCAAGTCGTTCCAAGCGGACTTTCGTAAATACATTTGGCGAGAATCGCTTCGCAGGGATGCTTCCCCTGGTGGTCCCATACATTTTCATTTTTCTTTTCGAAGAAAAAACGAGAAGAAACGAAGAGAGACAGAGAGGGGGATAATATCGTCGATATTATTCCGTCATTATCGAAAATAAGCCGTCGCGTCGAATTGCCGCTCGCGAATTCTGTTTATGTCTGGCGAGGTTCGACTCCGTGCTTAAACGCCGTGTTGCAAAGAAGAAAACGTGATCACCAGGCGGCGAAGAGTTGGGCACCGGGCAAGATTTGTTTACGAGCGATAGCGAAAGCAGCGCGGCGCAGACCGCGAATTTCGAGCAGAATGTCGCCAGCTGCCTTCTGCAACCGGCTGCAACCCCGTAATTCCGGCCAGCGAATGGAAAAAGATCACCGCGAGTTTCCGGCTTTCCACGAAGCCCGTATCTGAGCCATGGGGATTTGTTCCTCGAACGCGACGGGATCAAACTCGAGAAAATAGATGGTATCTAATCCAGGCCGACCGAGGGATCACATTGGAATATTCTGTAATACGAATGAAGAGATCTCTGTATCTCTATATCCGCAGTTACCGAGGTCTTCTAGTTAGTCAATAAATTAACATCCGTAAGCAACGGTTCAATGACGGAGGATGAGCACCGAAGAATCCTGGCACGGTCGCCTGATAGCTCCCCTGTTGATGCTTGGCAATCGCCAACTACCTGGCAAGAAATGCATTCAACATTGTTTACCGACTCGCTGGTTATCAGCCTAAATAAACTGTTCGATTATCTTCGTTCCTAGGTAGTTACTGGTGTCCAATAGTATCTGACATTATCGCTTTACATTGCACAACACGTGAAACACGTTGACCGAAGTTCTTACTTTTATGAAGCGAACGCGAGGCAAAGCGGAATTATCGGCGAACGATAAACGCTTTAAACTTGGCACAATTTGGCTGAGAAAATACGGAGGTCGTGTTCCTTGTCAGATGTCAAGAACTTGCAAGCGATGTATCTTGTAACTTTTAAACGACACATTGATCGGCAGATCAACGAGGTTTCGACTTTGTTTCTCAAGCATTCGGAGTGATTGAAATTTTTTTATGATGATGTCACCGTCGAGAAAAATGATCCGTGCAAGTTTTCGTGGGAGTTTTGGCCCAGATTTCCTGGAGATACAGATTCTGAGAGGTATAGAGACCCCTCTCTCTCTCTCTCTCTCTCTCTCTCCCCACGTTGCACACGGTACGAAAATACATTTGGCCCATCGTGGACGGGAAACAACGTACGACGAAATTGTCAATATGACAATATCGGTGATGTGCTCTCTCAACTCGAGTCGAGAAGATAGAAAACGAATTCCTATCGACGCGTATAAAATACGCGCGGTTTTTTTCATCGTTGCAACCGCCTACTCGCGAAGCGAGTCAAGCCAGGCTTGCTCGACGATACGTTATTCCTTTTACGCGTAAATGCAAATGCAGCCAAGGACACGGACGCGTAATCGTCGAGTTTGCGATAAAAATATTGGAAAACTACTCATCCGCGAATTCTTCGGCGAAACGTTGGAAACCTTTTCTCTTTCCTTTTTCAATGTTCTTCCAGAAGAATGTCGCCGATAAAAATTATACACGCGTCATTTTATAAAAATGATTGCCGACCGTTGGAATCTCGTTGGCCGATCAGTCACGTAACGGAAGAACGTTCGCGGAAGCTCGGCGCAAGGCGACACGAAATTATTTTCTTCGTTTTTTCTTTTTCAATCGGAGCTTCTCTTTCCG